TCTCACCTTTCACCTCACTCTCACCCTTTCCCCCCAATTTCTTCCTTTTCTTGTACCATTTTAATTTGTTTAATAGTATATTCTCTTTAATCCCCCTTCTGTTCTTCTCACCGTCCCCGTGTGGTGAGTGGGTTGCATTGTCTTTTTTGTTTGCATCGTCACTTTCGGGATAAAGGACAAAACACGCGTCGGCACGGTACCGATTCAGCGAGTCCCGGTACTTTCTACTTGGTCTCCTTTCAATTGACGGTCAAGTGCATTGTTGAGTAAGTGCTTTGCTGTTTTGTTTCATCTTCAGGGGAACCTCGGAAGGACTGAAAAGGAGAACCGCCCCGAGGGAACCTGTACTGCCGCTGCCTCGAGCAGAATCATGGATCGTCTCTGCATGCCACATGCACCTAACCTCCCGCAGAAGCTGCATTGCGGGAAGCTCCTGGTTGAGCATTGCATGGGTTCATGGCCCAATCACCCAATTTGTTGGTTGCCCACCGAGACTAACGTGGACTGTCTCAATTCGCTAGACCGCCATTGAAGACCCATCGCTTGTTCCGTACCTGAGTTCCTACCGATCCTGGAAGCAATCCCGACTCCCACCCACTCACAATGGCTTCTACTGAGGAACCGGTCCCGGTTGCCGCGCCCGTCGAGGTCGACTCTGAAAATGCACCCCCCGCGACCCCAATTGAGTCGACCGTCATGTCCGGCAGCGAAGGACCTCTGACCAGCCCGGACGTCTCCAAGGACAAAGAGAATACCAAGGCCTCGCCGGTCAAGAGCCGCCCAACATCGACTACGGCCAAGCAGCCCGTCTCGGGAACAACTACAAAAAGGCCCAGCTCCATGTCTGGTCCACCCAAGACCACGTCCACCACGCGTGCGTCGATGAATGGCAGCACCTTGAGCAAGCCTCCTACCCGCCCGACCACGACTTCGACCGTCCGGAAGCCCCTGAGTACGTCCACGACGGCCTCGCACCGATCCCGTGCCTCGATCAGTAGCTCCGCCGATGAGAAATCCCGAGGGGCTGTGAGCTCTTCCGATGAGAGGCGGGGGATCTCTGGGACGGCGAAGCGGATGTCTCTCGTCGGGACCCCCACCACCCGGGCACCCAGGCCGAGCTCCATTCACGACCGGCGGTCGAGCATTGCAAGCACCACCACAACCGAGAAGAGGAACTCTGTGTCCTCGGTATCGCGTACCAGCACCGCTTCGGCGAGGACCGCGACGAAGCCTACGACTACATCGACCGTTCGCCCTTCGAGTTCCTCCACGAGTGCTACGCGGCCCGTCAGCCGGCCCTCGACGGCCACCCGGCCCACGTCGACTGCTACGAAAAGGTTGAGCACCGTGACCAAGACCTCAGAGGAGGACGCGGCGAAGCTGAATGCTCTCCAGAGTAAGCTGTCCGAAAGTGAGACGACCGTGACGAGCCTCAAAGCGGAGCTAGACGCCGTGAATGAGAAGCTGGCCCAGCTGTCGGTGTCTCAGACGGAGGACAGCTCCAAGGACCAAGAAGAGGCTCTCAAGACCCTTCGGGAACAGCACGCAGCCGAGCTCGAACGGCTGGCCGCAGACCATGCGGAGCAATTGCAAGCCTTGCGGGTCCAGCTGGAAGAGGCCGAGGCGACGCGGAAAGAGCTGGAAGAGAAGTCTCTGAAGGATCTGGATGAAGCAGCCAAGTCCGCTTCTGCCCAGGGAGATGACCAGACTGCTGCAGCCTTGGAGGAGCTGAAGCAGTCCCACCAAGCGCAACTGGAGGCTCTGGAGAAAGAACTTGCGGAACAGAAGGCTTCTACCGCTGCATATGCAGAGCAGATCGAGTCTCTCAAGGCGGAATTGGAGTCGCAGAAAGCCAACCTCGAAACGGTCACCAAAGGACTCCAGGAGGAGAAGGCCTTGGCTCTGGATAGCCTCGAACGGGAATTGAATGGCCGTGATCAAGTAATCGCCAATCTCAATATCGAGATGGAAAAGTTGAATCAAGCCAAGGAGCAGGGAGTTCGCGCGGCGGAGGAGTCTGCCAAACAGGAGGTTTCCACCCTCGAGGAACAGGTTGCTTCTCTGACTGCCAAGCTGGCCGAGGCGGAGTCGGCTGCGAAGGGTAATGAGGAGACCCCTGAAGTTGTCGCTGAAAAGGTCCAGGAAATCGCAGAGCTGAAGGAGGCGATGAAGAAGATGGAGGCTGAATTCCTGGAGGCGCGCGAGTCCGCCGCGAATGCACGGGATGAGAAGATCAAGGAGTTGGAAGCGGCTCATGAAGCTGCCGTTGCGAAGCTCAAGGCGGAGCATGAGGAAGCCCTCGCCTCCGCATCCACGGCCCATGCCCAAGAACTCGCGGTTGCCAAGGAAGCCGTCGAATCAGCCGGTACCACTCATACCCAGCAGCTCCAAGAACTCCGGGATGCTCTGGAGGCCGCCGAGGCTGCGGCAAAGAAGGGTCGGGAAGAGGCTGTCAGCGAACGGGATGCCGCTCACCAGGCGGAGCTGCAGGCCCTCCAGCAGAAACTGGAAGCAGCAGAGCACGCTCTCAGCGAAGCACGACAGGCCGCGGAGGAGGGTGCTAACTCCGCGCAGGCTGTTGCAGTCCAAGAAATTGAGGAACTGAAAGAGAAGGTTGGCGCGCTAGAGTCCCAGTTGTCGACCGAACAGGACGCAATCAAGTCTCTCCATGATGAGGTTCACAGCAAGCGGCAGGAGGCCGAGGCGCTGCAGCAAAGCCTCGTTGAATTCGAGAGTAAAACCAAGGCCAAGGATGCCGAGCAGGAAAGCCAGCTGAGAGCGCTCGAGGAGAAGGCTGCCGCAGCTGAGAAGGCTCTTGAGGAGCACCTGAAGGAAGCTTCTGCCAATGCTGACAAGCACGCCCAGGCCCTTGAGGAGAAGGCCGCTGTGGCCGAGAAAGCACTGGAGGAGCACCTCAAGGAGGCAGCGGCTACTGCCGACAAACACTCCCAGGCCCTCGAAGAGCTGAAGGCGCAACACGCTGCTGAGCTGGAGAAGGCCAAGGCGGACGCCACTGGATCCCATGAAGAAGCTCTCAGTGAAGTCCAGGCCAAGCTCGATGCATTGACATCTACCAACCGCGAGCTGGAGACCAGCCACGCGCAGAAGATCGAGACTCTCGAGGCAGAGCTCAAGGCCGCCCTTGAACGCCACGCCGGCGAGCTTGCCTCGCACACCGAGTCTCACGAAAAGGAACTGGCTGGTGTCCACAAGGAGTACAGCGAGACCAAGGCTCAGTTGCACACCGAGCTGGAAGCTCTTCGGGAGTCTAAGGCTGCCGAGACCGAGGCCGAGCACAGCAAGGCCATTGAAGAACTCCTTACTGTCCACGAAGAGAAGCTCTCGAGCGTCCGCGCTGATCTGGAATCCTCCAACAAGGCTAAGGTTGAGGAGCTTCAGAAGGCACACGAGGCGGCTCTTGCGGAGGTTCATGAGCAGCTTTCCCACGCCCAGGCCGCTGCCCAGGACCACTCCGTTTTGGATGCCTTGAAGGCCACCATTGCGGACATGGAGAAGAAGCTGTCTGCTGCTGAGCAGTCCGTTGTGGAGTCGAAAGAGATCGCCAGCAAGCAGGGTGCTGAGCTTTCCAAGATCGAGGCCGAGAAGAATGAGTGGGAACAAAAGCACCAGGCCGTGAGCAGCCGGGCGCAGGAGCTCGAAGAGCTTGTGGCGGCGTCTGCCAGCTCCAAGTCGGAAGCCGAGACCGTGCAGCAGCAGCTGTCCGCGTCTCAGGAGGAGCTGTCGCAGCTCAAGAGCAAGCAGGAAGCCATCCACATTGAACTCGACGAGCTGAGGACACAGAACCGGGCGATGGACGAGAAGCTCGTGCAAGGCGAGAGGGACCTGAACGATCAGATTGACAAGAACATGTCGCTGCTCAACCAGTTGGGCGAGGTCGACTCGGCGATCTCGAGCAGCCGCAAGCGCATTCGTGAGCTCGAGGCGGAGGTGGCGGCCCTGAAGGCCGAGGGCAAGGGCGCCGGGCTTGAGAGCAGCCGGTGGGCGGCCGAAGGCGAGAAGGCCCCTGCTGGAGGAAACGCCGGTCCGGCCACAGCGGAAGGTGAGGACCTTGGTTCATCCATTGAGGGAACGGTGGGACCTCCCCGTTTATCATCGACCTACCCTTCAGAAATCCCCGAATGTCACCCCTTCACGTAACATCACATGGTCCGTTCCCTCGGCAGGCAGGAGTACTAATTGGACGGTTGTTGCAGATAGCAAGCATTCAGGAACAGCTTAAGCACATCCGCACGGCCAACGATGACTGGTATGACGAGCACCAACGGTAGGTTGACCTGGTTTCTCTTGTGAGGGCTGAACTAACACACCGGACAGACTCATTCGGGAGCTTGCCTCGGTGTCGCAACGTGCAACACCAGATCGCAGCCCCGCGATGACTCCGCAGCCGGAAAGGTCCAGCAGCCGTTCGGATGATAATCGGGCTGGTGAGGGAGCGTCGAGGTAATCGACATGGTCATCGGCTGGCGACGAGGTTCCGCATGACCTCGACGTATCTTTCCTTTGTATGTGATTGGATTGTCGGTTCTTGTATTAACTATGCAGTTGTATGTAATAAGAGCTCAGGATACCCCTGTTTAGCCTCCGCTGTGTTCGCCGCTCATGCAGATTTATTTTGGTGTGGACTGGACCCCGACTGTGGACCGCGGACGATGCGTTGTTCAGCGACTCCACGAGGCGTTGGTCTTGGGCCGCAATATTTTCTTATTTCTTTTTCTTTGTCTTTCTTATGTGTGCAGTCATGGGTCTCCGATTAATGCAGTGTACTATATCGGACATGTTTATCGAGTCCAGAGAGGAAGCAAAAAAAAAAAAGGAAGAACCAGGATGATATTTTTTATTTGATTAACGTACTATCCATGGGTATCAATCGCAAGTTGGAGACACATTGTAGTAAAACATAGACAAAAACAAACAAAGGAAATGGACAAGGTATTACATGTAGTAAGTCATATCTCACCGAGACCGCCGCAAAGAAACCCAGAGCGCCCTCACCGGCCCCCAGAACCCTCTCTGCTTCTGCTTCAACTCATCACTCTTCTCCCTCTCCATCCGATTCGTCTCCGCATACCTGGCCGGGGTCAGGATGCGACGTGGCGGCGACACAGGTCGCCCCGCCGTCAAGGGACTATACCCATAGTGTCCGATCGGCGTAAATCGCACCAGCTGATCCGCCGGAACACTATCCGAGCTCTCGTATCGTCCCAGTCGATCATTTGGATTCTGGAGAAACGTGTACGTCCCCCTCGTGTTCTTCGTCGTGCCCTGTTCCCCACCATGATCGGCGTATGTATGGTCGTGACCGTGTGCTTCATACTTCCGAGAATGTGGTCCACCATTTGGAGGGTTTTGTTCATTGAAATCGGAGAATAGTAGATTCTCGTCATACTTCTTCTGCCCATGAACAGGACCAGGACCAGGACCATGTTCACCATAAGATGCATACCCATACTCATGATCATACTCATAGCCATGAGAATAAGTCCCCCCCCGTCCGCCCCTCACTAAACGCCCAACACCACGCCGCATAATCGTCCTCCGTCGTTCTCCCGTCTTCCTCGTCTTCAGACAGATTTCTCCCCTCGTTGAGCTCCCCAGCATGATTGCGCAGTCTCGGTCGAGACATCTTCCTGGATACCCATCGCGTCAGACTGGTTAGCGTGGGGTGCCGGGTGAGTGTGTTGTTGTTAGTGTTGTTGTTGTTGTTGGTACTGTGGTGGTTGATGTTGGTGTCCAGCTTTGAGGTGAGCGAATTGGTGGATATGGAGGTCGTGAAGCTGGATGTTGATGTGCTGTTTCTGTTGTTGTGGTTGTAGGGGTAGGTGCCGTTGGGGAGGTGCTTGGTGGGGGGCATTTTGCTTTGGGGGGTTCTGTTTGGGGTTCGGGGGTTCATGTATTTTTGTCTTCTTTTTGGGGGTTGAGTTGGATTGGGTTCAATGCGTTGGTGTTGGACTGGGTTGGGTTGAATTGTGTTGATTGTCGTGGTGTTGGTGGTTTGTTGACTGGGTTGGGTTGTATAACTAGCAATTGGTTTGATTTATTTGGTATAAGTATGAGTATAGGTATGGGTATAGGTTAGATAAATCGGAAAAGGCAAGGACACCATATCTCGTGTTGCAGGAGAAGATGGGAATTTTAAAGTAGATGAATAGTGTCAGATATGTATTGGCTAGAAGTAATAAGACCAGATATAAGGAAGATAAGAGTTCTCCCGCAAAGAATAAAAGAGGACAAACTAAGATAAATAATATAATATAGTTAATATAATATAACCCGTCACCGCTACAAAAGACCGGGTCTTTCCCTAATTCGGCGTGACACTATGACTAGTAGTTCTTGATGCCAAACCCACATGCATCTGAGATGGCAGATTGGCAGCCAAGGGAATGCATGCCGAGCTGTTGGTCGTACATTGGCGCCGTGGATCCTTCTCTGCCACGGTCAGCAGACGAAGAGAAGTGAGTTTAGTGTAGTTTAGTGGGGGGAGGGACGATGTGAGACAGGGTATTATGATTGATTGGGTATACATATAAGATGGTCTACTATAGTTAGTGAGTTAGTGAGCTAGTCTACAGGATCTATCGCAGCGTGCATGTTTAGCCCGAGACGCCATCCCGGCCCAACCCCCATCGACCGACTTCGCGCATGGCTTCGTCGCCGCCTTCCGCCAGTCGCCCGTTTGCGTTGGCCGCGTTGGCGCCTCCCAACACCCCGGCCACGCAGTCCCATCCATTGCGTCCACCGCCCCAGCGGAGCACTTCGTTCTTGTAGCGCTCGCCTGCCTGCCGATCCACCGCCGCCTTGCCCGCCTGGAAGACGTCTTCCCAGATCTTGTTGGCGATCGCCCGATCGAAGATATAACTGTAGTAGGTGGCGCCGTAGCCGTAGAGATGGCCGAAGAACCCCTGCCACGACGTGGGCGGCCGGCTGTCCGTCGGGTCAGGCAGCGTCGAGTGGGCCGACGAGACCTGGTGGTAAAGTGCCGTGCTGTCAATCTGGCCGGCTTTGTCGGCCGGGATGGAGTGGTAGGCCTGGTCCACCAGCGCCATGAGGATCTGGGCCTCGTTCTCCACGGCACCGTAGATCGAACCGTGGGCCAGGCGATCCTTCTCCATGCTCAGCATCATACTCTCGGACAGTGGCTGGTCGGTCTGCCAATGGCGGGCGTACATGGAGAGCACCGCGGGTTCGGTAGCAAACCGCTCCATGAGAACCGACGGTAATTCGGCAAAATCGGTCGCGCACCGCGTCCCGGAAATGGACTGCAAGCGAGTCTGTCCCAGAATGGAATGCAGCGCATGACCCATCTCGTGGAACAGCGTCCGCACGCTGTGTTCGCTGAGCAACGACGGGCGCCCCGCGCCGGTCGCTGGCGGCTCCGCGAAGTCACACACCAATGCGATCGTCGGCAGCTGTCGGAGGGTCTTGGATTGCGGATCAACCGCGGTGGCCATCCCATCGTTAGGATGTGCCGAATGATCCATCGTGGCACACTCCGCCACTTCCTCGGGGGAGATCTCCCGAGCGCATCGCAGGGTGAAATGGGCAGGGTTAGGATGTTTGTTAGGCCGAGAGAACAGGTCACAGTAGATCACTGCAATATGGCGCTCGGCTTCGTCCACGACGTCCAATCGACGCACGTCTGGGTTCCACGTCTCACCTGCAGCTGTCTCCTGCGGCACGAGCCGGACACCATAAAGGCGGTCAAACAGCCGCGACAACCCTTGCATCACCGTACCCAAAGAAAAGAACTCGGGTACGGCACTCAGCTCACGCGATCGCCGGGACTGCGAATATTGCAGGACGCGTTGGTGAACATAGTAGGCATGGTCCCACGGCTGCAGTGGGGACGCCCCTTTCATCGCCTGCAGCTTGGACAGTTCTTCCTGAACATACTCGCGGTTGCTGCCCACCAACGCCGTCAGAAAGTTGGAAACGGCCTCGGGGGTTTTGGCCATTTTATCGCTGAGCGTCATATGGCCGAAGCTGGGGTGGCCCGACAGCTGGGCGAGCTCCGCCCGTTTGCTGAGCAGCTCCTCCAACCGGTGGAGCTGGCGCGAGCTGGATGTTCGGGTCGCCAAATAAACTTCCTTGCGGACACCCTCGTCGTGAACGGACCGCAACGCCAGCCGTGGGATCATACCCGTCGTCGGAACAGACGCAGTGCGATTCCATCGTCTGATCTGCTGGACAAGAATCGGGTCCAGGCCCCGCAGACTATTGGTGCCGACCACCACCTGCGATTTTGCGGGCTCAGCGCTATTAACAAAGTTGGACCCTAGCTGACTGATGTCGTTCGAAAGGTTCACGAATCGCTGTCTCTCATTTGGTGGCATGTGAATAGCGGAATTGGAGAAATCTTTAATCAGGATCTGCGCCACGATTTTCTCTTCCTCCGTCCAGTGCGAACTGACATCCGGATTGCTAGCAGCCTTCTTCAGCTGATCGTTGAGCCCTGTGGTAGTATTCAGAACATTCATGTACTCGAACATTAGCGCATACGCCTGCGTAGCCGCCTCCTGTACGCGCGGGTCAGGATGAATGACTCTAATAAAATCTGACAGGTCGATCACTCGGCAGAGTAGATCACTCAACCGGTCCAGATCCCGAGCCATGTCCCGATATTCCTCCAGCGTGGAAGCGGAGAGGACTTTGGAGACGATCGCTTGACATCTCTGTAGGGAGACATTCGCAAAGGCGCGAAAACCATCGGGGCTGGTCAGGTATTGGTTCTGAACCAATCCGGTGGGCTTGGATTGGGTGGCGTTCCGCTGGGAGAACTCTCTCCAGAACGGCTGCGAATCGAACACTCGTCGAAGGGTGTCGTCATTGGTCTTCTTCTGGGTGGAATGGTTCGTGGGGGCGTAATCGTATACATCTGACCGGGAGGATGGCGACGCGGCTGTTTCCAAGGATCGACGAGGCTGCTGCAGTCGCTGCAGACATGCCCGACAGGTCCATGGCCGACGCCGCAGCGGCATCAGCATGTGTCCTGCCATGGGAGCGAAGGCAGCTCAATTCAACATGGATGTCGTAAAAATGACCGTCAATGTGCAATCGTAAGCAGTGCAGAATTGACTAAAAACACAGTAGATCTTAAATAGTCCGGAGAGAGGGAGAGAAGAGGGGAAATGGGGAAAATCAAGGCGAGTCCAAGAGTCAAAAGAAGGGCCGGACGATGACGGAGGCACAAGCCGAACGCCCGCCGAAAAAAAGTCTTGGCGTAGTCACGCTTTCCCGTGAACTTCATCAAGCCCTCAGCCGACCTTCAAATCACTCCCCGTCTTGTTCTCCCGTCCATTGGCCTCGCGCAGCATGTCCTTTCGGCCGATGTTCCAGCAGGTAGACTCCCTGGCCCTTCCGTAATCTCCTGCAAGTATTCTTGTTCGGTACTGACTCGGTTTAGCGGGCTGTGGCCCCCATCGCTGCCACTCTTTTGGCTGGAGGTGTAGCCTTCTATCCCCGGCGAACCGCCTTCGCAGAGGAACCTAATGCGGTATGATCCGACCTCAGCTTCTCTAGCCCAGAAGAGATCTAGTCCCTACATCCCAAGGGTCTCAGTCTAATCATTACGATTCGTGCAGAGGAAACCGATCTATGATGACTTCCCTGCCGATATCCCGGAACCCACGAAGACCCTGCCTCCTGCTCCTCCCAAGTCGTCTCCATCTTCCTCCTCGTCCCCTACTCCCACAGATATCTTGACGGCTCAGGTCCGACACGCCCGTCTTTTCCTCTACGAAAACTCCCTCGCCGCCGAGAACTGCTTCAACGACTTCCTGTCCCGGGCCCTCCACATCGAGAACGCTTTCACCAACACCATCGCCTCGTTGGCCCCGTCGCCCGAGTCCGGCGAGCGTCTCCTCCCCGGCGGCGCCTATGTCATCGTCTCTGCCATGGCCGGTTCCATCGTGTCCCGCAACCGCGGTATCTTGCTGCGCACCGCCTCGCCGCTCGCGTTCGGTACCGTGGCCGCCTGGTCCCTCCTGCCGGTGACCATGCGCAACATCTCCGACCTGGTGTGGGAGTACGAGAAGAAGGTCCCCGCCATTGCCGAGCAGCACCTCTACCTCCGTGAACGGGCTGAGCAGATCTGGTCTACTGGCGTGGCGCACAGCGGCATGGCACGTGCATGATGGAAGATAAGATCGGGGAGACCCGCAAGAAGCTGGAGGAGCTGGTTAGCAAGGGTCACTAGATTATTGCATTTTCAGTCTGTCTCTCCTCCTTTTCTCGGTTGTTTTCCTTGTAGCGGATGCCATTTGGAGCCCGTGCTGCGATTTTCGGCTCGGATGGCTTAAATTCCATTGCATATGTGTACTTTAAAACAGTTATATTCAAGGACTCTTTGTTCGGCACATTCTGTTAGTGTCTAATATCCACTATAGTAGAAACTGGTGCGCAGCACCGCCGTGAAAGACTGACTGATATTGCGAATCCATCAATTGGTATACCATACCCCACTCGACCATCGTAACTCCGGAGACTCATGATACTCTACAAACAAGAAACTCTACGATCAGAATGCCTAATTTAATCCACTCCCCTACTCTTCCGCTGGTGCGGGACTTCCTGACGGTGGCGGGGACCGAATTCCTTTCGGCGGAGGAGGCAGCGGCGTTCCCTTCCGTGACGGAGCATAATCCTGCTCTTTACTCTTCTGTTCTCCCTCGGCAAAATACTCATCGAACGCCCGGTTAGGCGAAACGGCGTACTGACGAGTCTTGCCGCGGCGCGCAGCAGGTGACGGACCAGGCGCTGGTGACCCAGAGAGGCTTCGTGGCGCCTGCGATGCCAAGGGAGGCGGCGCTGTCATATTGGCCGGGACCAGAAAATGACCGCCAGCGGTTGCACCAGGTGCCACACCCTGGCCGTAGGTAGGATTCATCGGGTCCAGGACGGGTGTCGAGGTGCCATCCGCACGCGTTCAAATACTACCTCGCCAGGGCCTTCTACCTCCTCGCCCAATCCAACTGGTAGTCTGTGCAATGCGCCGTACCCTAGTTCAGCCCCTAATGCGCCCTCACCACCCCAGCCTCGGGTGGGCACCAACTCGACCTCGCGTACTACGTCGAATTCGCTGTTGTACACCCACAACACCAGTGTCCGGTCCAGGTGGTCCTCCACTAATTCTCCCAGTGCGGATTCTCCCCGTAATGTTCCACTGGGCGTTCCGATAATGTAGTCTGAGTGTGGAAGTAACCCTGCCCGGTATGCCGGACTGAGCGGTGACGGGATGTTCAGGACATGCCAGATATGTTGTGTCGACGAAAGAGGCGCAAGTTGCAATGCGAGGCCCAGCGTGGGATTGGATGGGGGAATTGGAATAGAGACGGTGTGTGTCTTCTGACCCTACACACAATAAAATTAGTCAGAATGAGATGTGGTCTGGCAAGATTTGGACAAAGCCCACCTTTGCACTCCAAACTTCAAATGTCACACTGGAGCCAGCGCAGTTACGAACTTCCGTAGCGAAGAGATTCGGGTCTGGATAGTCCTGGTCATAGTAAAGTCAGTGCATCGCTTTAACCAGAGATACTGTATCTGCACACACAATTAGACGCCCATTAATGCCAACAATAAAGTCAAACCACGGCTCCAGGGGCAGTTCCGGGTCCTTGTTGCGGAGTACTTGGAAGCCAAATGCATTATCGTTGGTGGCTCGAGCCTGCTGGACTGGTTCGCCGTCCAGATGGCCGATGAAGCGGTTCAGAACTCCGAACATGACCGGCCTTGGTGAGAATAGTGTATAAGATGAGGTGTATTAACCTAAGTATAACCCCGAGTTCTGGTGCTTTACGCCGGAGTAAACACGATCGCATTGTGGAGAGCTGCTGCCCAGTTGCAAACCAGACAAACACCCACGTTATCAACTTATCGGCATCATGATTTATTTATCGCTAGTTGGTGCTTTGTAGATTTCTGTATGACAGCCTCACAGGAATCCGAATGATGGCATGTGATAGATAAATTGCACACTACTCAGGTGATACCAAATTATCGTCTTTTTGCCTCCAACCATGTCTGGAGATCATGCTACAGAGGAAGCTCCTCCGGAGGTTCACCATTACAACGATATCGGAGAAGTTCCTTGGGATATCCAGAAGTATGCGATTACTGCAATTCACTCTAGCATAAGATATCTGGAACAAAGCTGACTCTGCGTAGTTATTGGGCACAGCGCTATAAGATCTTCTCCAAGTATGATGAAGGTGTATGGCTAACAGATGATGCATGGTTTGGCGTTACGCCTGAGCCAGTTGCCAAGTAAGTAGACTGTTCTTGTCTTTGAGAGGTAGGGTGGACTAAGAAGACTGCTACAGTAAGATAGCTGAGCATATTGCCAGCGCTGCTCCTGCGTCTCGCATGATCTTGGTTGATGCATTTGCTGGAGCTGGCGGTAATACCATCGCCTTTGCACGATCGGGTCGCTGGAAACGGGTTTATGCTATTGAGAAGAATCCGGCTGTCTTGCAGTGCGCGAAGCACAATGCCAAGATATATGGAGTTGAGGATAAGATTACCTGGTTCGAGGGCGACAGTCTCCAGATCGTGAACAACCAACTCAAGGAGCTGGGCCCATATAGTGTTCTGTTTGCAAGCCCTCCATGGGTGGTATGTTTTCAACTCCTCTTGCTTGTCTATGGCTTCGAAGGTGCTAACACCTCCACAGGCCCTGGGTATCGCTCCGACAAGGTATTCAATATGAGCACAATGGAACCCTATTCCCTGGGTACGTTATACGGCGAATACGCTTTGTTTACGGACCATATTGTCCTCTATCTCCCTCGGACCTCGGACGTGAAGCAGCTCGCGAAACTAGTCAAGGATGGCGAAAAAGCAACAGTGATGCATTATTGTATGGAAGGCGCCAGCAAGGCGCTATGCATCTATTACGGCGGGTTCAACCTCCAATAGCTCAAGCTCTGCTCTTCATGGCTTGGCTTCAGCAATTGGTAGTATTCTCTTAATAGGGGATATAATCAAGAAACCAGAAGACACAGCTAGCCGCCCAATACGAGATTCGCAAAAGGTGCGATCTTCGTAGATCCATCAGCTTTTAATTGGCCCTCAAGGGAAATTTATCAATATGCGCCGCCGGCTGCGGACAAAGCTACTAGGTAGCATATGAGCTATGGCGCGGTGTACAGCAAGAAATCGCTTCGAATATAGTTCAATTTCGAATGATGTCAATAAAGTTTGTGGCACAGGTAGGGTTATAATAACTACGTCGAGCGTTTCGAATTTACGGGTGTCGTGTCGGATGTGCGGAACATATTCCGAGTTTTCTGAAGTCCATTGAAAATTTTCTCAAGAACGGCACGAGAGTTAAATTTACAACTAGAAAGAATACTTCACATTTGGCGATTCAAAAATATTGCCAATTGAGGTTTTAAGATAGATCATTTTACAGAGGAAAAAAGGTTTGAAATAATAATTTAATTTGAGCAAATCTGGGTATCATAAAAACTCCAAATCCCAATCATATATCACCAACATCAAAGTGAAAAAGAATGGAATCAAACACCTTTCAGACCTCCTCAACACCCACCAAATCTGACCGACCGAAGTCAAGACATCAAGACAAGGTAAAGATCATCACCACTCCCTGGACGGAAGGCACTCGTACAAGCTCACCGAAGCGAGATGTTCGTAGAAACAGCCATCGAGGCGGGAGTAAACACGGCTTCACTTTAGGGCATTGAGGACATAGAAGTCATCAGCAAGGGTGGAGATTCTGTAGCTCTTTAGAAGAGTTCAGAGGTGGGACGTCTACTCTAAAGTGATTCTTTGAACTGTAGTTGAAAGTTAGCCATCATTCTTTGTGTTTAATTTTCTCTTGGGACTCCCAAGGTAGGGGGGGGAGAAACATACGTAGAGTCGCTTGATTTTCAAAATGGATGGGAAATGGCCGGTATTTATAGGAGAAGACTGGCGCTAGTGGGAAGCGAGGTCATGTGGTGGATGTACTATACCCGTTAATACCATGGGAGTATTTATTACACAGCGCGATAGACAGGATGTAAGGATGGCTCGTCACTTCAGCTATCGATACGGTATTATCTGAATGAGAACTGGAAAGCAATGAGGAAATCTTAACTAATTCCCATCTATGGATGTGGAAGGGTTAAACTGCATAAGGCCATGACATGATGACAGCATGCCTTAAGCTACGAAGATCGACTCAAAGTGGTTAAAGAATATATACTTCCGATGCCACTCACCAAGAATCACAATTATTTCATCAACTAATTTTAGACTGGTGTAGGTATATACATGTATATATATATTATCATATGAGGGAACAATGACTTCTTCTGTATGAATATACTACGTAAATTAGGGTATTCAAGTTTTGGTGCAAAATAGCTTTCAGAACGACCCAAGTCTTGGCCTGAGGATTCCACGATGATCCACCCGGTAAGGTTCAGCCCTTCAATTAGTTAATCACAGTTTCAGCCCCACCAAAAGGTACGCCCACGTGACACACACCCTGAAAGTAAGGTGAGTCGGAGATAGTGTTACTCCGTCGATAAGCTACGTCGGACCTAGCTGCTTTGCCGCGAAACCAGCTCCAATCGCCCTCCACAATTCATTGTATCTCGCGGACACAAGAATCCTGATAGCCGGTCGGATTTTCGCGCAGTCATCATCGTTCTCGATGCGCGCTCCTTCATAGCGTCCAGTTGTCCGAGCATCGCCGACTATCGAACTGTCCCTCTCGCTTTGTTATTCAAGGAAGATTTGGTCGTTTGATCCTCTCGACTTGCTACCTTCAATATGCCTCACGCTACCGACCTACCGGCACCCGATGCCGAAGATGCCGACTTCGAGAGTGTTATGCGCCAGATGAACGGGCCCCTCGCAGATGGCGGCATGTCATTCGATTTCTTACAGCGGGACTTGGAACCTGGCGAGAAAGCAGACGACGCGGTGGATTACGAAGATTTCGATGACGATGAGCTTCCTGAAGAAGAGGAGAGAGCACATGTCCCCGCAGAAAATGGCGAGGTAGCTATGGATGAGGACAAAGACTTGTTTGGAGCGGGAGAAGAAGATCTCTTTGGGGACCAGGGAGACGAGCCACAACCACAACCACAAGGTGGCGATGAACTCGATGACCTCTTCGGTGAGGGACCTGCATCTCCTGTTCACGACCATGCCGATGATACCCGTGATTTGTTTGAAGAGGACGAACAGACTCAACCTGCGCCGGAGACGGTTGAGACACCCGCTCCTGAGCCGGAACCCATGGCCATGGAAGAAGACGAGGTCATTTTGGATGACGAGAACATGGGTACGGTGGCCGAGGATATGGACCCAGCGGCTCTGCGAGCATGGAAATTACAACAAGCTCTATTTGCCATGTCGACTGTCGGACCGGACAACCCACCTGCACCACCAGAAAACGTCGAGGAACTTCTACACTCACTGTTCCCCAAATTTGATCGCAAAACTCTTCCTCGCTTCCTCGAACTTATTCCCCACAAGAAAGCTTTCTTTCTCGGCAAGCAACCTCTGAAGCCTCCCAAACCCGTGCTCCCTAGCAAAGTCAACATCGAACTCGCTCAAGATCAGGAGAGGGCTTTTAAATCAGGTGGTCAGGTGTTTAAGCGCTCGCTGGAGTCAGAGCATCTGGGTGTGGTGGCCGTTGCCGAGGCTGCACCGGAGGAGGAAGAGGAAGAAGAGGTTAAGGAAGATTTCGACTTCGACACAGATACCGACGAGGCGCTGCCGGGGGGTGTTACGTTGAACGACCTTCGCGTTGTTTGTATGGACTGGGACGTCAAGAGCGATATTTCTATCATGGATGTTGATGAGCCTATTGTCCAAGAAGAGCCAGAGGATGCTGAAGATGATTGGCTTTTGGAAACAACCCGCCCAGTGAAAAAGCGCAAGCTTGGTAGAGACCCGGCGGAGTTGATCGCTTTCTCTCATATAGACGTACCATTGATTGATGATCCCGAACGAGCAACATCACGCATCGCCCAAAAGGTGACAGTGGACATGAACGATCCCCACATTCTCCTCGACGAGCGGGGACCCGAATCTGCGACACAGAAACCGAAGGCTATTGGTGCTCTTAATCGGGATGAGATGGATGTAAACGTCACTCGCCGCCTCACTTCGCGGTATAACATATCGAACGATCAAGCATACGATATGCTGAAACAAAACCACCAGAACAAGGTCCGAAGCACCTTGGGCAATGTCACTCTCGAGCACAGTATGCCGGCTCTTCGTTTACAATGGCCATATTACAAGACCGAGCTTGCCAAAGCAGAGGCTCGGTCATTCCATCGCCCAGCTTTGGCTTTCCGGCCCGGCCAAACTTGTTGGTTCAAAAACGCTACTTATATCAAACGCAAGCACCAAAGGGGCAAAGATGTCAAGACACTGTACAATTCGACCAAGGCACTGTCCCTTGCCGACAACTCCAGTGCCTTACTGGTGGAGTATTCTGAGGAAGTCCCCGTCATGCTGTCGAATTTTGGTATGTCTAATCGAATTATTAATTACTATCGCCGGAAGAATATGGACGATCCCACTCGCCCGAAAGCCGAAATCGGTGAAACAGCAGTTCTCCTACCTCAGGATAAGAGTCCTTTCTCCATTTTTGGTCATGTTGACCCAGGCGAGATTACCCCAGCCATCTCCAACTCGATGTATCGGGCTCCACTGTTCCAACATCAGGCTAAGTCTACGGATTTCTTAATTATACGTAGTAGCACTGGTTCCGGAGGCAGTGATTACTTTATTAGGAACATCGAAAACCTGTTTGTCGCTGGTCAACAGTTCCCATCCGTGGATATTCCAGGCCCTCATTCCAGGAAGGTCACCACTGTTGCAAAGAATCGCATGAAGATGCTTGTGTACCGTCTCCTGAAGAAGAGCCCTGATCTGCGGCTTTCGATCAGCGACGTCACCGCTCACATCCCTGGCACCAGTGATATGCAGAACCGCCAGAAGGTCAAGGACTTCCTCCAACACGACAAAGATTCGAAATACTGGGTGCCGTTAGAGCCCGTCCCTGAGCAGGACGTAATCCGCTCATGGGTTCAGCCCGAGGACGTATGTCTCCTGGAATCGATGCAGGTCGGCCAGCAGCATCTGCATGACACGGGATATGGCAACGATGCCGAAACAGGAGGTGACGAGGACAATGACGAAGAGACAGAGAGTTTCGAACAGCAGATGGCTCCCTGGAAGGCGACTCGGAATTTCCTTCTGGCATCCCAGGGCAAGGCTATGCTCAAACTACATGGGGAGGGTGACCCCACCGGCCGTGGCGAGGGCTTTAGTTTCATCAAGACCTCCATGAAGGGAGGTTTCAAGGCCATTGGCGAAAGTGTTGAAGACAAGCTAGATGCCCAGAGACTGAAAGAGCTCGGCGGTCACAGTTACAACGTCGCCAGACAACAAAAGTCATACGAAACCTCGATCCGTCGGATTTGGGATGCGCAAAAAGCTAGCCTTTCGTCGACGGTCGAGCATTCGGACGATGACAGTGACATTGACCGTGAATTAGAAGAAGAATTCAACAAGCCTACCCCGAGATCTGAAGCCCCCACACCAGGCCCGGGCCGCCGTGATGACGAAACAACCAGCCAGTTTAGCAAAATGAGCATGCCGGATCAGAGAGGTAAGGTCTTGCGCATCGTTCGCCAATACAAGGACGACAAGGGCCAGATATATTCCAAAGAAACCATGGTCTGGGATCCTCGGGTCATCCGTCACTATATACAACATCGCCACAAGCTGGAGGCTCTAACCACCAAGTAAGTACAACCGACACGAGGACCACAACAGCACCCTCAAACTAACCACAACCCCAGACTCGAGAACCTCCAACCAACAGGCGACCCAGAAGTAGACGCCCGCAACAAGAAACTGTACGTCATTAACATAACCCTCATCTCAACCCCGACCCTAGAAAACAAAGCAATAACTTACCAAAACACACAGCCTCGAAGCCGAACTCAGCCGTCTAAACAGAAACAAGGAGCGACGATTCGCGCGGGAGAAACAAAAAAGGCGCGACCCGCACATCCGCCGGCGATTCCCCAGCCGACGGAGGCCCCGGCGGCAGCGGCAAAGGAGCAGGCACCCAACGCAAATGCGCCAACTGCGGCCAAGTCGGTCACATCAAGACCAACAAGAAGTGCGTCCCCTCTGCAAATCCCCTCTGTGCTTCTGATAGAGCCCCTCTCCCCTTCTTTGCTTCTTCTTTCACTTCCCCTGAACCCCTTTCTGCTCGCCCAAGAGCAAGGAGAGGAACAAGGACCCCGGCTGCAATGCTTCAGATGTCTACTTCAGACCTCGGCAATATCAATATGCAGATTGGCCCCCAGACGCAAATGACCCCCCAAGGACCCAGTTTCATATCCAGACGTAAGTCAGGGTCGAAAGTAGCGGAACGCTAACATTCTTGTGATTGAATCAACAGACTTTGTCCCCTCCTCAACGGCACGATGAAACCCGAAGACCGTGTCAGCGATTCTGCTTTCGCTATGGGCGCTCCTCCCGCCATTTAAACTGGGAAGTATTCATTCTACTATGACGGATTTGGCGAGGTCACTGCTATCATGTTTTGTTTGTGATACCCTTAGCATACTTATTTTATTCGCATTATCTCTTTTGAAGACTTCGGTCTGTGATATGGGGGTTTATGACGTGACTCTCCCCGAGATTTATGATACTACATGCAATGCAGTACCTTAGTAGAAGGTTAATAAGCATCTAGCAATTTAACCTGAGCCTATAGTTCAGGTCTTCGTATGAATTTGTCATTGAGTACTGATATCTAAAAATACATGAAAGCCCTGCGCTTTTTGGCACGCGCCGTTCGAATTGCCCACTGAAACATATCCACGGGCTGCACAGTGAGATATACCTCGACTTGTTGAACATGCTACAATCCATAGATCTCGGACAGATGTCCTCGTGATAGGTAGCGCCGGCCCCTTTCGGGAGCGAAGGCCATTGCAACAGCCTTGGGTCGGCGATATGTATAGCCCACGAAGGCTCCCTCCTTGCGTATTTTGAGGACGGTCTTCTGAATCCTTTTGTCCCGTAGCATCTTATCCCTCGGTCTTTTGCTATTTTTCTGTCTCTTCAGCGCCTTAGCAGAGGGTTCTTTAACAATGGAAGTGTTCTCGTTGGGGACAGGCCCCTTTTGCCTTTGCCGTGACTCTGCCTGATTCTGCATGAGCTTTAGTTTATGTCCTGTATCGTCTGCCCCATCGCTGGAACCTTGGGCATCCGTGGTGATCGAAATGTCGTCATTGTCGACCACGCTTCCAGCATCTTCAAAATACCTCGTATCTTCCCAGCCTTTAACTTTTGGGACAAAGGGCGGACTGGACTGATGGAGCTGTTCCCATTTGATGCCGCGAAAGAATGGATGGGCTTTAATATCGGCTGCATCGTTAGGGTACACATAGAAGTTTCGATAACTTCGGCTCTGGGGGTCAATACTGGACAAGAGATGTCTTGCTGTTGATCGAGAATTCAAAACATCATTTTGGCGGTACGCATCACAAGAGAGCCGATACTCTTTCTCCTGGAGTAAGCGGTTCATGAAATCACTTGCCTCCGGTGAGACAATCCTGTCCGTATCCCACTCTCCCGGGAAATGTAATGTTTGGTGGTGATGCTATATGAGACGTCAGTAACGTTTAAGGTCTCGCCGGACACAAGCCTACGTGAATCTTCCATTTCGTCGTTTCTCGATCTTTTGCAGCAAACGGTGTAAAGCCGTACAAACACTAGATAGCTCGTATTGGGCACATGAGTTACATGTAAACATTTCGGGGCTGGAAGACTTACTTCATAAAGGATAATCCCAACACTCCACCAGTCACACCTGCCATCATACAAACTTCCCCGAATGACTTCAGGGGCCATGTATTGACTAGTACCGACTACACTCCTTGCCAGCCTTCGCATCTGATGTTTATCCCGCCATTCAAGAAGATTTACCGAAGGGGGCATGAAGGTACCTGTGTCGTCGATATTGTTTAACGGGCCTTGTTGGGCTTTTCTTGTTCGTTCCTCTTTCTGGTCCTCAACATCGCCATCAACTTGAATTCCTAGCCTCTTAACTAAAGAGTACCGGTGATCGTTATAGTAAACTTGGTCATGGGCCCAGTGGCCATCAAAGGCCAGACCAAAGTCTGAGATTTTCAAATGTCCTGAGGCGGATATTAGGAAGTTATCTGGTTTGACATCCCGATGAATCCAGCAAAGTCGATGTGCCTCCTCAATACACAGTACCATCTCTGCAACGTACCATTTGGCGATATCTTCAGGTAAAATGCATCGCCGCATTAACAGACCCAAGAAGTCACCACCAACCATGTAGTCCATGATGAGGTATAGATAATTGATATCCTGGAAACTTGCGATCAAAGGGACGATCCAGCGAGACTTTGCGGACGCCACGAGAAAATCCCGCTCAGCGCGCAGGTGGCCCTCTTGACTATTGCGTATCATCGCTGACTTTCGGATGACCTTCATGGCAAAGACGTCCTTCTTCTCTCCAGCCATAACTTTCCGACGATGATTCTCGCGCCCTCTGGCTGCCCTAGAATCGGTAGGCTTAGAGCGATGGCGTGTCGGCACAGGAGGAGTGTCGCCTGTTTTGTTCTCCCTAACTAAGCGAACAACACCGAAGCTCCCTCTACCCAGTTCTTTGAGAACTTCAAATCCGGCAACTGATACAGTCTCTCCATGGCAAGCACTATGGAAGCGCGACTTGAGCACTCGGCATTGGCGAAGATATTCTTGTTCCTGGACAATCCAGTTCTGCCATACTCGGCTCTTCTCCTCCAGTGTCAGAGGTAGTGAATGTATGTATTGCTCGAGTTCTCGCTGTCGCTGTGAGCGTTGGTTGATTTCAGAATAGATAGACCTGAAGTAGGTTTCGAAGAAGACCTTAGCATTCGCAGCAGCTTCAACAGTACGGACCGTTGGTGACACGCCGGGAGACTCCTCGATTGGAGTAAGCTTTCTACCTGTGACAGGATTTGGTGTGCCTAACGTCGGCTTCCATCCAACCGTATCGTCATGATAGTGCTCTGCTCTTTCGTGGAAGATAGATGGCTCTGCCGAGGTTGGAGGCGTTGATTTGGCCCTTAATGGAGAGCCGCTACCGGTAGGTGAGCTCGAAGGATCGGAGCTATCATTAGCACTATCACCTTGATTATTGAGGTTGGGGATGGAAACAACCGGGAATTCAACAATACGGACGCTTGGTCGTTGACGTAGACGTGAACGACGAATAACCGTTGGGTTTCCAAAAGTAGTTGATAGTTTGCGCGACACGAGGTGGGTGAATGCGGCTGGCGTGGACCGACTCCTCTGTGGCACAAGACATTTAGGCCCTGTAGGCTCTGTTTTACCTTTATGTGTTTCTCTTTGCCTATTGGAATGACCGACTGATATAAACAATACACTGGAACTGCGACGGTGGAGATTCGCGGAAGAAGGGGGATGGGCATGGGCAGTTTCGACCTCTCTAGCATCTGCATTCCGAGAAGCCTGTGTACGCTGTGTGTACAGAGACTGAAATGACTGCGTTCCCTGAGGATAACTTTGTGTGTGTGAAGGGCGGCCTGGCTCAATAGCGCTCGGCGTAGGACCTAAGCCATGGTTATCAGCTCGCGTGGTGACAGATTATGGGATAGCACTGCAATACAATAGCTTACCGTTAGGAGAGCTTCGGAAACCGAGTAAAGATATTAACCGCGAACTTCTTCTCCCGATACGAACTCGGATTCTATCTCTTCTGGCCTGCTGAGCCGCGGAGGCATCAGAAGCTGACTCTGACATGGTCGTATGAACCGTGCTTTAACGCGATAGATAATATCATTGGCTTGGCAATGCGAGTTTGAAATAGATGAGGCCTTCCAACTTGTTCTGCTGCTATTATCACCTTTCCAAGAAATGACCTTCCCAAGGGTTGACCATAGCAGTACAGGAAAGAATGTTCTCTGGGCCCTCTATGCTAGTAGCATAAGCGTGCATATTCAAAGAGAGGATATTTGATCGAGCAGGGCGAAAGCCACTGTGTGAGGTAGTAGTATTATATGAGGCGAATGAATGAGAAGAGGAAGTTGGAAGAACATCTGCCTCGATGGTTGGAGGAAGTCACGACTTACGCGGCACGGTTGCCCTACGAAACGGCTTTCCTATACATACCATGAGATAGACCAAGGTTGAGAATCATACCATTCTCTTTTGCTGGTCTATTGAAGAAAATACGCAAACTATTTGTAATATCCTCATCCCTACGGTATACATGCACAAGAGTGCAAGGAAACAAGTCGGATATCACAATGGAAAGCAGTACCAAATGACATAAATGGATTAAACTGAAATTTGAAGCCCCTAAAACACCATTTTTTAACAGCATGAAGATAGGAAAGAAACATCCATATGGACAACACTGCCACCGTGATACCCAAACATCAAGCTAATATGCAACCGAATACATAGAAATGGCGAAGCGTCTATTTGATCTCAAGAAGCTTGACATCGAAGATCAACTTAGAGTTGCCCGGGATGCCGGGGAGAGCCTTCTTGCCATAGGCCAGATGAGGAGGGATCGAAATGCGACGCTCACCACCAACGGCCATACCAGCAACACCAATGTCCCAGCCCTTGATCACCTCGCCCTTGCCGAGCTTGAAGCTGAAAGGCTTGCCCTTCTTGTTGGCTGTACAGAAAGATACGGTCAGCGAATGCTTCCATCTAACGCGAAAATCAGAGTGGTCACTCACCATCGAAGACTTTGCCGTCCTCAAGCTTTCCAATGTATCTCATGGCAACAGTGTTACCGGCCTTGGCGGCAGGTCCCTTTCCAAGCTTCTTGTCATCAATCTTGACGCCCTTAATCTCCTTGACACCAAGGGTGCCAGTGGTCTGCTCGGCGGGCTTCTTGTCCTGGCCGGAGGGGGTAGGGCCCTGCTCAAGGTTCTTGGCGAACTGGACCTTCTTGGCCTCCTTTCCTTCCTTGGCCTCCTTCTTCTCAACAGCAGCAGCGTCACCGTTGTTCTTCTTAAGCTTCTTCTGCTGCTTCTTGCTCAAGGTTTCCTCACCGTTGGCCTGCTTGGCAGGCTTCTCCTCATCGGCGGGGGCAGAGCGCTTGTTCTTTCCCTTGGTGTCAACAAGCTTGGGGGCTTCCTCCTCGCTGTCAACCTCGGTGATTCTGGGGTTCTCGAGGTCATCAAGGTCATCGCTCTCATCGTCTTCGCCCATGAGGGCCTCAAGATCCAACTCATCCTCGTCGGGGGAAAGGTCATAGTCTTCCTCATCTTCTTCATCCTCATCGTGGAAATGACGGCCCTCGTCGGTGGGCATGACGTAGTTTCCGGTCAGGTAAACAGTGTGGGTACCGGTGACCTTGAAGAAAACACGCTCATCCTCAGAGACGGTGATGTCCAAAGGCTGCTGGAGGTTCTGTAGGGCATCATTGTTAGTATAGTACAGAGCACCGGTCAAGGCAGAGACCATACCTTCTCGGTATCCAAGGTACAGACGACCATCTCATCGAGTTCCAGGCCCTCATCGTCCTCGTCGTCCTCGTCGTCATCATTAGCAGGGCCCTTGCCCTTGACGAGCTTAGAGATAGCAGCCTGCAGGTCGAAATCTCCATCCTCGTCATCCTCGTCCTCGTCATCTTCGTCCATGGCTTCCTCCATTTCCTTAAGAGCGGCAAGCTCCTTGAGCTTGCGAGCCTTCTCCTTGTCACTGGGACCGCCATTGACTTCCTCATCATCAGAATCTTCATCAGAGTCCACATCCTCGTAGTCCTCGTCCGAGTCGTCCTCAAGGTCCAGTCCGGGGGGAGCGCGCACGATCCTGAGGGTGGCTCTGGGGCGCTGGTTGGTATCGTGTCCATCGAAGTCAGGTTCCTCGTCAGGATCGATGGCAGCCATGCTCACACGGAACTGTCGCATAACAATTAGACTCTATCTTGACGACTCAATATCTATGAGGTACCATCTGACTTACCATGGCCGCAGCATCGGGCACTGCGGGAATGAGGGCACCTCCAGCAGGCACCTTGAGCGCATAGACGGCAACAGGTTGAACACCAGACATGGTGGGCGAGAATTTAAAGAGAGCACGGGGGTATGAAGAAGGAAGAGGAAAAGTGAAAGGAAGGTAGAAGTAAGAGGTAGGAAAAAACAAACAGAAGCCACGAGAGAAGGGACGAGAAGAGACGAACGAATGCTGAGGAAAAGTTTTGATTGATACCGTCAACTAGTCTTAACTGCGGATCCCTCAAGGGAGCATAAGTGGATCCGCTTTTTTCTTTGCTTTTAGGACCTTTGAAAATCCAGTCGCCAATCACAACGCCCACCGCCTCCATCTCCTCCTGTCTGCCACTTTTGACCGCCCTGAGCTCACCGCATCACATGACTCTGTTCCACCCGTCACGAACTCCGCGTCCCTTCAAAAAGTCCCCTCATCGTCTTCGCGTCCTGCGCATGAATTGAATTGCTGACGTTGTGGGTCAGTATCATGAGAACCGGTCTCTAGCCCATCATGGGCTCTGTGCTCGAAGCAAACTCTAACACCGTGCGCAAGCGGATCGCAAACCGTACGTTCGTTGACCCTCTCTAAAGCTATGATGTCAGTGGTTTTAATTGCTACTTTCTAGACACCTTTGACAATGAGGAGGGTGAAGAATATGGGGCTTCGGCCTTTGGGGGGCATGGCGATTATATGCGTCGGAAGAAAATCAAGTTACAGAATCTAGATGCCGAGATTCGTTCCTTGGCATCGGATTGCCCCCCAATCTTTCGCGGCGTGGTTGCGCATGTAAATGGTTACACTCAACCGTCTCTCCAGGATCTTCATCGCCTGATCGTAAGCCATGGTGGCGGTTTCCTCCAGTATCTTGACGGAAAGACGGCGGCCACCCATATCATCGCAACCTCTCTCACGCCGAAGAAGCGGGAAGAGTTCCGAAGATATCGTATTGTAAAACCGGCATGGGTGGTGGAGAGTATCAAAGCTGGCCGCATACTTCCCTGGGATACTTTTCGGGTGGTGGATGAAGGTCATTCTCAGAAAGTTCTCAAGTTCGACAATGGGCACATTCTCAGTCAGACGAATTGCCCACCCTCGAGCTACAAAGATCAGACTCTTCCAAGCCCGTACACCTCTCGAGCAAAGGAGTTAGACATAGGGGAAGATGGCATTGTGCAACCGTCAGTCTCTATCGTTGGGGCCCATAGCGCGACTGACTCGTCGCTCAAGGCTGCGTCTCAGTCGGATTATGGTGACTTCCCAAGTTTTAGCTCTACAGAAGAAACGAGCAAGGACCCCCTTCCACAAGAGTCTCGGGAAAGTCAAGCACAAGAGCCTCAGCCAAGTCTAAGTGATACGACCCGTAACCCTAGTCGTAGCATGTCACCAAAAATCAAAGCAACCGTAAAACCTGCGTCGTCCCCTTCCCCTGCCAAACCGGACATGACATCCGAGGCATACAATGCGCAACTTTTGACGGATCCCCGCATGAGGAACTCAAGCGTTGTCAATCCGGATTTTCTTCAGCAGTTCTATAAGGAATCTCGTTTGCATCATCTATCTACGTGGAAAGCTGAACTGAAGGCCCAGCTTCAAGCAGCAACGAAGGAGAAATCGCAATCTCAACCGGCCAGGACGAAAAGTGCTCCTGGCACAAGACGGTATATTATACACGTGGATTTTGACTGCTTCTTTGCGGCTGTATCCACTTTGAAAAATCCGGGATACGAAGGAAAGCCAGTTGCTGTTGCGCACGGTACCGGCTCTGGCTCAGAAATCGCAAGCTGTAACTACGCAGCTCGTGCCCATGGGGTTAAGAATGGGATGTGGATGAAGGGAGCCCTACAGGCATGTCCTGAATTAAAGGTGCTGCCTTACGATTTCCCTGCGTACGAAGAGGCAAGTCAGAAATTTTACAGTGCCATCCTTTCCCTAGATGGAATTGTACAGAGTGTGAGTATTGATGAAGCGCTCATTGATGTCACTACCCAGTGCTTGGAGGCTGGTGGATCGGATGGCAGGGGTATTTCAGAAGGTTCGCTTTATCGCGAACAGGCAAAGGCAGACGAGATAGCCCAGAATCTGCGGGACTCTGTGAAGAGCAAAACGGGCTGTGCTGTATCGGTTGGAATTGGTGGGAACATCCTACAGGCAAAGGTTGCATTGCGTAAAGCGAAGCCCGCTGGTCAGTTCCAACTCAAACCGGACGCTGTGCTAGACTTCATTGGGGGCCTAACAGTCCGGGATCTACCCGGTGTTGGGTACAGTCTGGGAGCAAAACTTGAAGAACTCGGTGTCAAGCTTGTGAGGGATGTGAGGGAACTGACGCGCGAAAAACTTACCTCTACGCTTGGACCGAAACTTGGAGCGAAGATCTGGGATTATGCTCGCGGAATCGACCGCACAGAAGTTGGGACTGAGGTAATGAGGAAGTCTGTTTCCGCCGAAGTCAATTGGGGTATTCGTTTCGTCAACCAGGCTCAAGCCGACGATTTTGTGCAATCTCTGTGCGAAGAACTACACCGGAGGCTCGTCGAAAACCTGGTTAAGGGCAAGCAGTTGACCCTAAAGGTAATGAGAAGGGCAGCGGATGCGCCACTGGAGCCAGTCAAACATTTGGGCCATGGGAAGTGTGATGTGTTCAACAAGAGTGTGATACTTGGGGTAGCCACCAATGCAGCAGAAACGCTGGGGAAAGAGGCTGTGTCTATGCTAAGAAGTTTTGCCATCACGCCTGGTGATCTCAGAGGCCTAGGGGTTCAAATGACCAAATTGGAACCCCTTAAATCTAGGAATACGGGAAGTCTCGACAATAGCCAGCAACAGCTCAACTTCAAGACATCTCCCGCTCGCAAGCACGTCCACCAAAGCCACGATCCCGATGATTTGGATAGTCCTCGCAAAGGAGAGAGTGAATCCGTCATCCATAGGCCGTCCTTGAATGACAGCAACCAAAAACCCCTAAATATATCGGGGACTCAGTTTATCATGCCGTCCCAGCCTGACCCGAAAGTAATTGCTGAACTTCCCCATGACATTCGATCGAAGCTTATATCACAAGCGAAGCCTCGCAGCGAATCTCGGCCTTCATCACCTTGTCCCCCGAGTCGGCGTGCACAACCTCTTGAAGGCGCAGAACTCCCCCCTCAATCTCAGCTAGACCCAGAGGCTTTAGCTGCTTTACCGGACGATGTACGAGCTGAAGTCCTGGGCTACTATGACCAGTCTTCAAGGGCTAGTGGCCCACAGCCTGCAGCCTCAGTAGCGCCGGTCACCTCCACGTCCCGCCCTTCTTCGTCTGGCTCACTCAAACTGAAGAAGCCGACGACGCCGACGAAGAGAAAGCGTGGTCGCCCAAGTACTAAAGCAGTCGGCAACCTGCGACTCACTCATTCGAGCTTCCTCGCCCCGAGGCCCGCTACTCCTACCGCTAGTCATGATGGGGACCCGCCTGTAAGGCAAGAGTCCCCTTCAGTTGAACCGAATGGGGTGTCGGAAGAGTTCCTTGCAGCACTACCCGAGGACATCCGTCGCGAAGTACTTGAAGAGCAGAAAAGATCTCGGATGCTTCAACGCCCCAGTAGCACAGCCCAGAGAACACAGAATGGGCCATCAGCCTCGGCGTCTTCTGAGCCACAAAAGCGCCTCTGTCTACCCCCTTTGCCCGAGAGGCCCACCTTCACCTCCCAAAAGCTCTCCAGCTTGTCCGATTTGCGGGATGCTGTTGGCGCCTGGCACGCAGCCTTCGCCGATGATGGACCCTTCGACGAGGACGTGGAATCACTCGCGCGATACGTGAAGCGTGTCGTTGTCGACGAAAAAGACGTCGACAAAGCTGTGTCAGTTGTTCGCTGGCTGATGTGGCTAGTCGAAGATGCAAAAGATGAGATTAGCGAGCCACCCAACTGGCAGGGATCTCCGGTGGGCTTGGCCCGTGGCTCCCAGAGTGCCGTCACATGGGATGACGCTTTAAAGTTACTCCAAGAGAACATCCTCGCTGGGTTGGAGGAAAGAGGCCTACCTCCTGTGGACTTCTCGTAACCTGCTTTTGTATAAACCTCTGTAAGCTGTATGTATATGGCAATGCCTGTTACGTTGATATATCCCTGATGACATGGAGTTTTGGTTCAAAGCATGGGTTACGGTGTACTTCAGAAGAGTCATATTGACACTTCTTAACTTCCACAGTCCGATATTTCTTAGTCTTAGTGTACAAAATCATTTCCTCGTTCTATCATGTAATGAAATGCATATAAATCCCAAGTGATCCTAATCCTCCCACCTAGACGAAGCACTCTGAAACACCTTTACCCTGGCTTAAAATATCTAAAATGAAATTATAGCACCAGCGCACCTGTTCACCCCATCCGGTTAGTCAGAATCCATAGCCCCAGTTCAATTTATATACACCAAGTCTATATAAAGCAAAGAACCCATAATATACATACCACCGTGACTGGATATAAAATCCAACCACTATCACAACTCCCCCATGAAATATTCTCTCTCACCTTTCCTTCCCCCTTAGTGAATTCCTCACACCACCACCATACATATCTATATTATACAGACTTGACCAAAACAAAACAAAATAAAATAAATGCACCCCCGAAGCTGCACCCCAGACTCAGACCCCCAAAGCGCCCCCTGCGAAAAACCAACCAGCGCTTTCCTGACCGCCGGCATCCCGGCCATCATCCTCGGAGTGTAAGTAAGACATAACCTGGATATGCAATCCAACCTACCTACCTACCCACCCCCCGGGGAACCCCATCTCGACGATACAAGTACGAGACTGGGGAAAGAAAGAGCAAATAGCTTACAGGAATAAACGAATAGGGTTCTGGCAGTCGGGATCACGGTGTGTTGTGTGTTCTTTCGACGACGGAATACGTTTGAGGATCGGGTGGATGGGGAGGAGAGGAGGTTGGGGTTGGGGTATTATCGGACTGGGGGGAGGGAGTTTTTCTTGGGGATGAAGGGGCTGGATGGATTGAGGAGGGGGGAGGGTGGCTTGGTGAAGTAGGGGTTGTTTGTTTGGTTCTTTTTGTATATTTCTTGCGTAGGTTGTGTTCTGCCTGGTTGGAATGTGTATCTTGTATATTAAGTGGCTTTTCTTGGACGATTCAGTCTGGTTCAACCCAGGGGATGTATGTGTTGTGTTGTGTTAACCAAAGCCTAAAATCAGGTAGAGATGTAATCGTTGAAGAAGTAACCCTCGCGGTCTCGGCCGTGGATGGCATAGCCTTGCACCTGATTCATCAGGAAGAAATGCTCTCGCTCGGCAGAGTCTGCGTAGACAGGTTGCATCGTGTAGATTCTACGGCCGCGAGTCGTTTCCGTGTCTAGTATATTCACGATGCGGGAGAAACATGGCAATGCGCCTACGGTGTCCTCGCGCAGAGTATCTGTGCGCTGCAGACGCGGGAGGAAGTCGTCCTTGAGGTATCGCATGACCTCCTGAGTTGGCCAGCGCAAGGCGAGCAAGACTAACACCCAGCTAATGTTCATGTTGTAGACGCTGTCGCAGAAGCAGCTGGCCGGATCGTATCCTTTTGCGATACCGAGAATTGTCTTTACATACTCCGTCACATGAGGATTACTTTCGATTTCTTGTTGGTAGAGCAGACTTTGGAGAAGCTCTCCGTCGCAGTATATTTGGGAGAGAGCATAGACGGCGGAGAATATAGCTTCTTCACATTGATCGAATCTGATTGGATTGAGTTCGGGGATATTGAGCAAGGGCTGTCTCTCGTTGAAGCTGGACTCTCTTGGCTTTGAAAGCATTGTGCCGAGCGGTTCATATCCCGAATCGGAAATGACGGCCTTGTTTCGATCTTCTATCTCTTTCAAGTATATATAGATATGTCTTCCTTCGGCTGCTTCCGGTAGAATGGGAGGATCCGCTGGCTGCATCGAGGTATTTTGAAATCGAGTATAAATCTTGCCCGCCACACGGTGCCAGCTATCATGATCATGCTGCATGCAGTGCGCCAGAATGAGGTGTGTCGTCATGGATACCGCTCTGGTCATGTTTATATATATGATTTCCCGCGGTTGGGCGATTTCATCGACCAGTCTCTGAAGATACCTCCCTGTCGCAGGTGCAGTACCGAGCGACGAGAGTGGGTTGAGCAAGAATAAAGTCCGCATCCTAAGAAAAACACCAGCTCTCAAAAGAGTACGACCATAGGGCGACTCCATCAGAACATCCTGGTGCAGCATGAGCAAGTTCTCGAGCCCGGCAACATGGCAACAGACACCCCAGAGTGTCCCTACCTCTAACTCGAAGAGGACCAAGTGGATGGCTGCCGCGAGCACATTCTCTATATCCGCCGGAGATGTTCGTATATGCTGGACCGCGGAAATAAAACGACTAAGCGCTTCCGAAAAGTGCTGGAAGCGAGGTCTCCGTTGCTGTTCGCTTTCGATGGATGCCAGTCGGGCCGCTGAGAGGGCGATGACAGCCTCACGAAGACTGGACAGTTCTGTCATTCTCGAGGCTACCGCTCGGACACTTTCCGGCAACATATTCGTCAATTCTTGTGTGAAATAAGATAAATATAGTTGCTCCGTAGTCATGCCCCAAAGGTTGACCTGTTGTCTTTTGTCATTTGGCGGCGAAGCAGGCTCCACGATGCTATCGGAGCTGCAACCCTCATGTCGTACAGGCTTTGAGAATACCTCTACAGCGACCCCATTATATTCCCACTGATGACCTTTCGAATCGTTCGACTTTATTGTTTTCTTTGTATTTACGGAGCGAAACCGTAGCGGCATCTTCTGGAACCAGCACATCGCTCCTGTACGAGTACATCGGATACATTGTGGCCGAGCTTCATCACACTGAATGGTATCAGTAATTGCACTTGGGTCTGATATGACGGGAATTCCCTATACCTTGCGCTTTTTCTGCCGACAAGGAACGCAACCGTTTCTGCTTCTGCTAATGCTGGTTTTCCGGGGGCGTGGGGGCAACGGCGCGTACATTGCACAGCATACAGGTCTTCGAAGGAGAATTCAGAAACAGCACTAGACATTTGGGTGAGATTGAAGTATAGTTGGAGAGCAACTTCAAGTGACGATCAATGTTTCAGTACTAGAAATAGACAATAAATCCACTAAGCCTAAACAGGTCAACGAGTGCGCTAGCGCCAACCTTAATCTTAGTAAAGAGTCAAATTAGTAGATGCTGCATATATTGATTATATTCTTCGTGATCAGCCACGGGTATGCACAATCATGGTTTCCACTTGACCAGGGGAGCAAGTTGCGGTGCCTGGGTCGTGCTGGGCAGCCAAGTCAGGACGAGGACGACGTGCTCACTGTCGAGTGCTTTCTCGCTAGATCCATGGATGCCGCAGTACAGGACAGCTCCAATAACTGTATATAACTTTGGCTCGGATCGTTAACATTCTTTAATTGATGAAATATACGCAGAAGTTCCTGAAGTTGGGAATTAAATCCCTCCGTCGCGTGACCGTCATCGAGAAACTCGGCACACAGCAACAAAGGAATTGGCATGAGAGGGTGGACCTTAGTTGTTCATCAGCACGAGAAGAAAAATGAATACTGGGTTATCAGGGACCTTGAGACCGTGATTACCTTGAATAAGTGGGATTCAGTCAGCGCTTTTGCCAGAGTGACTACTTCTTGTGCTGCCACCAACGCTCGCTGCTTATTCACCACCAAGGTCCTTTCATCGATCGTCCTTAGAACGGACTTCATCCCCTGATACAGGTAGATCACGGTTGCCTGTCCCATTATATGCGCAAACAAGAGCATAGAGTCGCAAAACTGCATGGGTGAGGGGTGATACTGGGAGAGAACCTGTAGTCGATTGATGAGAATATTGTCCAACCACTGATGCTGCTCCGACCAGGTGGGGGTTATATCTCCTCCGTACACAAAGCCGATCTTGTGCTGCTGGACGTGGAATAAACTGCGGCCACAGATGGTTGCCAGGATTACACATTCATTAAACGGCGACGTTGCCCGGGAGTGGTCCATAATGGCTTCTGACAGGAAAACACCCAGCACCGGTTGCCCGCTCTGGAATTCCATTTCTGGAGCTGGAAGACGGGTACAGATCTAGTCATTGCATCAATTAGATAATTTATTCTCTTCATTCGCGTTCAGAAACGGTTTTACCACGTGTTCGTTGAGCGTGACGGGCCAATTGTTGCGCATACTGAATAAGTGATCTAGAAAATATGCCATCCAAAAGACCCGTCGCTTCTCCTCCGTCTCAATCAGCTCTGTTTCGAGTACAGGAACGTGTACAGGAGCATTTGTGGGATTGTCGATTTCATGCAGTCTCATCAGTTGCACCAGTCGGAATGCCCTTCCAGCGCTCATCCAGGCTGATCGGTGGAATGTACGCATGGATTCATACGTTGCAGTCAAGATCCACGCTTGGATCTCCTCTGTATCGACTAGAAAATTGGTGTCTCTGGTTAACTGGTCCAGCATCCTTTTGGTCTCCTGATAGAAGGATACCTGGAGGTGCCGAAACTGTGCGGAGTGAAGGGACGCCAGTGTCCACATTGCATACTGAAGGCATTGTCGTGATGTACTTTCCACCGTACACCGGGCCCATGACATATATCGACGCTGGTGAAGGATTTGGATTGAGGGATGGACTCGGTCGAAGTAGAGCTGATTCCTAGATAAGCTGTCAGAAATCGCGTCGTCGATAAACCCACTCTTTCGCACCCACAAACTCACAATTCTGCCTGAATGAGTTCGGAAACCGGCTTGATGCTCAGCGTCCTTGCTTGTGGGGTCATACTTGCTCTTGTCATTGTCGTTGCCACAACCTCAGGCTCCGAGGCCGACGGGCTTCTGGCGGACAATGGGGCTAGATTTGACTCGAACGCGGTGGAAGTACTGGAGACATCTTGGAGATCTGTGACGGGGGTGGATAACGGGTTGCACTCGGCGGTTTGCTCGGCCAAGCGAGTCTCTAACAATGCTGAGATAGGTTGCTGTCAGTTCGGCGTGCTCTACACTTGCCTCTCTGCATGATCCTACCAACGCGATTCCTCAACGCCTTCAGGTACCCCTTCTTCGGTCCCCGCAGAGCACGCTGGCTATTGACCTCGCATGGTACTCCTGATTCCACACAGACTCCGCAGCGTGGTTGTTGTCCATCGCATCGCAGTTTGCGTCGCCGACATTCTTCACAGGCTCTTCCCGTCCGCTGCCGCTGTCTCGGGGCTGACCGCGGAGAAGGCTGTCGACGCGAACTGGACCCAGTCTTGCGAGAGAGCATTTATGTGTGAGGGTGTTGGAGAACTACAGGAATCCGTCAGTGTTCAAAGCCGACGGAGAAGCCATAATCACTGTTGATTTTGCCCCACCGCCGAAGGAGTAAGCACTAGTAGCCATTGTTTGTAATCATTTAATCCATGCAAAGTGTTCCGTTCCGTTGGAGAGTCCAATACCAAGGGGAACTGGTGTTGGTCGCGAAGAGGCTATATTTCTGAAATTCTGACACCCTACCACCGATTTTCCTGAGCAGATAGACGTGTTCGCTCACGATGTTCATTGAAAGATGAGTGGTGTCTGCTTAAAAGAAAGCTCAAAGGCTCGATATCAGGGCTGCGAGACGACGGGCTCACCACTAAACCAAGCCAAACGGACATTTAGCCCTAGGTAGACGGAAATCAGCAGTTTACATTGAAAAGCTAGAGTAAGTGGAAACTGTAAAGGGGAGATGTGATAATTCCGATCCGAGAAGAAAGCCAGGGTTCTACTTTCTGAAGGGATTCCGACATTACGCGGCTCTATCAATGACTCCATGATTAGAACTAGTTTCAATGCTAGGAAGAATATGATATCTAGTACTATGCTAAACCGAACGCCGCATTCATTAAGTTATTGCCTCAAGCCTGGCTGGCGCCAACAGGCCTTGACTATTGTCAGCGGGTTAGCCCTATCTAGTATCTGACATACAACTCCTCCTGGCCCTTCACTTGTAGGTGTAGATAGCGAAGCCGTTGCCTTCACTGTCTTCGACGTACTGGAAGAGCCCTTTATCACCTTCTGGGATGACCTCGCCGACCTTCTTACCGCCGTGCTTTTGGATTGCCTTTCAATTGATGTCAGATCCCTCCCGAGTCCGATCAGTAGCTTCAACGTACTAACCTCTAGCGCAGCGACAATATCCTCAACATAGAGGTAAATCTTAAGAGCGCCCTCAGTTGTTGGAATATCATCCACCCGGCGGAGGGCCCCGCCGATAGGGAGGATTCCACCAGGCACGGTGAAAGTAAGCAGCTTATCTGCTGGGAAGCCCAGAGTCGAAGGCGCAAAAGTCCAGTTGAAGACCGCATTGTAGAATGCAGAACCTGCGCAGCGTAACCAGGTCAGAATTCAGTCATAGGATCGAGTAGATGAGACCGGCCACCTACCACGAGCCACATCCTTGGCCGGGATCTCAAGTCCTACTGGAGTGCCAGCGGGAGGGATAGTCATCTTGATGGACACCTTTCGCGTAGTACGGATGAAGCGGTACGATAAGTTATTCAGATTGCGGTGGACAGTGATACAATGAAGTTCTATTTCGTAGGGATAAAGGTCAATTCTTGTATCTGGTATTTATACTATTTCTAGACCAGGATAATCTATAGCATTCGAATCCCTATGACCTCAATTAATAATCCATTAGCGTCTGGCCTACTTTTGCTTTGTTGCCCCTGGTTTAGGCGGCATAATAAGAGAGTCCTATATGCTGTTTCTCAGCTTTCCTAATTCACGATTGGCAGTTTAGGAGTCTTTTCTCCCAGGGATTTCTCGTCGGAGTTCTCCTCGGAGCTCTTTTCGGATCACTTTTACCCGATCACTAATCTCGACAACCTCATACATAGTTGTTTCTCTGGAACAAGACAGGATATTCTTAATCCAATTATACATATCTCATCAGATATTTAATTAACTAGCACTCCTGCGTATTCCAACATTGAGAATACTTACTTCGACTGTAGTAAGCCAACGTCTAGCCCCCCGACCGGCTACAGCCCCTGCTATTCAATAGTTGCGAGTTAACCAAAACCTTTGTAATATCTCTTACTTTTAACAAGACTATATCTAAAGACTAAAATGACTTCTTTTTAGTGTTAGTGAAAGACATTACTATTTTATGTATTTTTTGTTATATTTCTAGTTGTTTCTCTGCAGATACCGACTTCAACCCGCCGCAGTGGTCGTGGCAACTAAGTATAGAACGACAATATAACCACTCCAGCTGAAAACCGTTATTCCGAACCTAAGCATCTTATCCGAGCGTCGATGAACCAACCGGCTTTGCAGCATGATCTACGTACTTGAATTGTGGGGATTATAGCCTTTGAAGCTTTTGCTTCCGGAGAAATATCCGAGCCCTTTTCCGGCTGCACCAAACAATGAAGCCTATCCTCAGAATCGGAACCTACGATGGAAACTGGTCATTTGCCGGCGGCTATAGGTCTATTGACCCTCTTATTTAAGCGGTGCGTTTTCCGCTCCCATCATCCAGTTACCGCTGTAATGTGGAAGTGACACGAATGCATCCAAGATGATTTCTGCAACCGTCCCCCAAAGCACTACTGCACCATTACCTGTCCCGATCTTGAGAAACACGACGGTCAATCATGACCCAGATCGGGTGCCACTCACAGTCGACGAGCTGGTGCGAAGCCGTGCGTCGCTTGGTTCCGAACAGCCCGTGATATGTTATCCACGGACCGGCATCGAGTATGTGGACTACCCACTGCGCAAACTGGATATCTTTGCTTTTCGAGTCGCTGGCGCCATAGCTGCGAAGGTCCCGCCGAGGGCTTCCTCGAGAGAGACCCCGACGGTGGTGTCCCTGCTGGGAACCTCCGATCTCAGCTACCTGGTCATGCTGCTCGCGGTGGCGAAGCTAGGACACACGGGACTGCTTCTCTCGACGCGGATCTCGATCGAGGCGTATGTGTCTTTGTTGGAGAGGACGAACTCACGCCATGTGTTCATCCATGAGTCGTTCAAGGAAACGGCGGAGGAGCTCAAGCAGCGGCTCCGGGATCTGCAAGTCGAGGTGATACCCGTACAGACATCCTTCGATTTCCCGGTTCCAGACGAGGTTGCTGTTGATACGAACATGGTCCCCTGGCTGGACCCGGTGGCTGAATCCAAACACCTGGCGTGGATCATTCACTCCAGTGGCTCGACGGGTCTCCCGAAACCAATCTACCAGACGCAGGCAGCGGCCGTCCGGAACTACTCCGGTCATATGAATATGTCTGGATTCATCACTTTACCACTGTACCATAATCATGGGATCAGTGTGTTGTTCCGGACAATCTACTCGTCAAAGAGGCTCTATCTCTACAACGCCGAACTCCCGCTCACTAGACAGCACCTGCTGAGTATCATGCAGGCACATCCTCTCGAGATCTTCTACGGCGTTCCGTACGCCTTGAAGCTGCTCGCCGAGACAGAAGAGGGCATTGCTGCTCTTGCACAGTTCAAGGCGGTTATGTTCGGCGGATCCGCGTGCCCGGACTCGCTGGGAAATCTGCTCGTCGAGAATAATGTCAACCTGATAAGCCACTACGGATCGTACGTATAATTGGGACTTGAACGATAATGACCTCTGGCTAACTTAGACTGTAGGACGGAAACAGGCCAACTGATGACCTCCTTCCGGCCACGAGATGATAAAGAATGGGATTATCTCAGGCCGTCGGAGGTGGTGAAGAAATTCCTGCGATTCGAAGAGCGCTACCCGGGGATATTTGAATTGGTGTGTCTCGATGGTTGGCCTTCGAAGGTAATTTCGAACCGGCCAGATGGGTCCTATGCCACCAAGGATCTGTTCGTGAAGCACCCAACCCTGGAAGCGTATAAGTATTACGCTCGGCTGGACGACACCATCGTGCTCGTCAATGGCGAAAAGGTGAACCCCCTTGATATGGAAGGAAGGGTCAGACAGCTCAATACAATCTCCGAGGCGATTGTCTTCGGGGCTGGCAAGGCGAGCATCGGGCTGGCAGTTGTTCGTGCGCCTGAGACTGCCTCCATGTCTGATCAGGAACTTATTGAGAGTATCTGGCCTGCCGTCGAGAAGGCGCATGCGGCCATGCCGGCGTACGGACAGCTCTCGAAAAGCATGGTCCGCGTGCTACCGGAAGATACCCCCTACCCGCGTACGGATAAGGGAACCATTATCCGGCAAAGATTTTACAAAGAATTCAGTAGTCTGATCGAAGAGGCATACGAGGCGGAGGACGCCATGAGTGGATCGCTTGTCCTATCCGAAACGGAGCTCAAGGCCTTCATCAAGGATCAACTGCACGATATTCTTTCGCCCAGAAAGGAAGATGACCTGACGGAAGATGCCGACTTCTTTGCCCTTGGGATGGACTCTCTCCAGGCTACCCAGCTTCGATCTATCCTGATGAAGACGCTCAATACGAACGGCCAAAAGCTCGGCCTGAATGTGGCGTTTGACTATCCTACGATCAGGTCCTTGGCTCGCTATCTTGATTCCCTCAACTCGGGAGCCACAACCGATGTTCAGTCTGTGGAAGACCAAATGGCCGAACTGATATCGAAGTATAGCGACTTCCAGCAGCACGTCCCAATGTCGAATGGCTTAGACGGGAGATACATTGTAGGTCCTGTGAATCATCGGTCGAGAAATCAAAGCTAACACAATACAGGTGATCACAGGCGCCACCGGTTCATTAGGAGCTCACGTAGTCAGGAAGCTTTCCGTCCGTCCAGAGGTGCAGAAGATCTACTGTCTTGTGCGCGCCGGCTCGCCAATTGAAGCCTACGGCCGCGTACTCCAATCCATGCGCAGTCGTCGCGTGTTCGACGGCCTTACGGACGCCGCGAAACAGAAAATCGTTGCTCTTCCATCCGACCTATCCCAGTCGACTTTGGGGCTGGATGCTTCCACCTACAACACATTGACCTCGGAGATCACAGACGTCATCCACTGCGCCTGGTCTGTGAACTTCAACATGCACCTCAGCAGCTTTGAGAAGGACAGCATCGGAGGCCTCAAGCATCTCCTCGATCTGTGTCTCAAGACGCAACGACCCGCCCCAGCGTCATTCAACTTCTGCTCCTCCGTCAGCTCGGTGGTGGGCACCGCCGAAGACGACATTCCGGAGGCCCTGCCCAAGAAGCTCTCCTATGCCCAAAACATGGGCTATGCGCAATCGAAGCTCGTCAGCGAACACATATGCATGAATGCCGCACAGCAAGCGGGCATCTGTGCGAGAGTCCTCCGAATTGGCCAGGTGATCGGCGACCAAGACCATGGCGTCTGGAACGCAACAGAGGCCATCCCACTCATGCTACAAGCCGCAACCACTATCGGGGCGCTCCCGAAGCTCGACGAGTCGCCTCTGTGGCTCCCGGTGGACACGGTTGCGGGCACCGTCATTGACATTTCCCTGTCCAGCACGGCGGTCTCCAAGCCCGACACGGAGCTGGTCTTCAACATCGTCAGCCACCACCCGTTCCACTGGACCAGGGACCTCCTCCCCTATGTTCGCGATGCGGGGCTGGAGTTCGAGGAGCTGGAGCAACGGGACTGGATACAGCGTTTGCGAACGTCGAACCCGGATCCTGTCGCCAACCCGCCTATCAAGCTTGTTGATTTCTTCGCAAGCAAGTATGACACCGATAAGCCACGACGTTTGTTCAACTGGCATACCGAGCGGGCAAGGGAAGTGTCTACCACCTTGGCTGATGCAAGGCCTCTGGATCAGGAGCTTGTTAGGAAGATGATAGCGTATTTCCGCAAGGAATGCTGGTCTTTGCAGAATTGATTTGATTGTCTTTGTTATATCCATTAGCACTGTGGTATCTGCTTTTTTCTGCTTTTATATTTAGAAATCCTATTCGAAGACTAACTGTGTCTATTGAGATATGTTTGAGAAGAATTGTGCAAGAAAGCAAAGTAGACATATGAAAATGTATTATCGAGTAGATAAATGATATGCGGTGTTACCGAAGTGGATGGTAATGACTGGGCTTTCAAGTTTTGTTTCCGGTTCTTCCATTGATCATATCTTCAGAATAGAAATAACAACAATATATATACACCAGCCAGCAGCAATCACAAGTGATACGCTTTCGCTGTTGTTCTGACTGTCCGAGGTTCATAGACCCAGGTTCGAGGGCTCTGCTGAAAGGTTGGAAAATGCCTATACAACTGTCAGTTATATGCCGAAGCATAGTACTCTCGAAGCGCAGATAAGTGTAAACGCACCCAGGAGTCTAATTGCGTCCACCAATTCAGTCCTTCCAAATTATCCAGAAGCCCAAAGTCCTCGCTAAAATCAAACGCCTCTGCTACTGCGTCTGGAGGTGCAGCGTTATCTAACTGATTGGTAGCGCGAGAAGGCGACGGAAGCGATTGTGGGATGTCTGCTTGATTCGCATTTCTTTGGACCATGGAAGCTTGATCTTGGATAGCTGTCGTGGCAGGTTGTTGTGACGCAATTGCAAGAGCATCTGGAAATAGATATGATCCGGTCTGTCTACGTGCCTCCAATCTGAGCTCCCCCAAAATGATGCTATAGCGACGGCTTGGGCAGTTCTTGCGGGTAGCCTCGGCGAGATGTTGCTGACAAGCCTCGGCGAGGTTGAATAATGAACACAAGTAGCTTTTATCCTCCATATCCCGCGAGGCATCGGGGTACGAGGACAGCTGGCATTGTTGGATGGTATATATATACACCACCGTGATGGCGCAGAAGCAGACGTAGTGAGTGAACCAGAATGACCGGATCAAGACGCCTTGTTTGCCAAGGGTATCCACTATTCTCATGACGTCTTCGGCAGCACCTATACATTTGTGTACATGGCTTGTTACCGTGGAATGTGAGACTGGTGGCTTGCGACTGAGGTCCGTGAAATCGTTCAAGAGGAAGAGCCGGGTGGCGTGGATTATGGAATGTGAATACGCGAGTTGCAAAACTTGGCTTTGCCTACATAGAGGTGGAATGAGACTTGTCGCACGAACGCTGTTGAACAAAGGTGGTGCGGCCTTTTTCCATTCCTCTAACTCTGCAGTGAGCCGTACAGCGACTTCGAGAGGGGGCTCTCGAGATCGAGGGTTGATCGTGTACAGTTGCCGGGAAACTTCACCGAGTATGCGACCGAGTCTACCAGAAGGATGTGAGCTGCAAGTTCAGCATGAGGCAATCAGGGGAGGACACACCGGTAGTGGAGAACAGATGCGATCATCATACAGTCAGGAGTTCCTGTCCTTCGGCGTGCGTCGTCCTGTAACATATCTTCGTCATTGACCTCGTCCGGGAGTTCCTGGTCATGATCTTCTTCGTGGATTAGCCTCGGCCTCCCGAACATGACACTAAGATATTTATCTAGAGTGTAGGTGCTCCAGAAGATCCGTTTACGAATTTCACGTTCCAAGTAGCTATTGCCATTCTTCGACAACTTCGCAGGGCATCTTCGGTGGAGCCCTAAGGCCGTCACAAGCTGCAGTGCGGTCCCAAAAGCATACCAGCATTCATTGGCTCGGGATGATGAAAGCAGGTAAAGGCATTGGCCTAACCTCGCTTGCACTGACTCTAGCCGGGGAGGCCCTGACTCTAGGGACAACAGATATTTTGAAGCAGCGTACCATTGCTCGCTACAAGTGTTCAGTATTTCTTCGGAGAGTGTCACAGCGCCGGTATACGTGCTTACCTTCCATTCCAAACGTCAATATCATGCTCTGGTTTCAGTTCTTCATGCAGTGAGCCTACAGCAAATATTATAAGGACAATCGCAGCTCGAGCTACCATTGGGCCAGTGGGTGGATTCAGGGAAGAGATATTGCTCTCATACACTTGTTTCAGCCAATCCTCTACAGTTCCTCTATGCAAGAAGCGGTAGGTAACCATAGAGAAGTCGAAATATATTTCAACCAACTCTCGCGCCCGCTCAATAGAGGGAAGAGTAAAGCCAGCTTCCCGGTCGTCTGAGTAGGGTCTGTCCCCAAACATGAACACGGACGTACTTTTGGAGCACGACTCTTTCTGAAAGTCACCAGGAACCGCCCCTATTTCATCCTGGTGAAGACGACGCCAAACACGGTTAAGGAAGGAGACTCCCGACGCAGGACCAAGGTAATTGCCCTCGAAATCAGTGACCACGGGGTCGGGTGAGTTACGACCTGAGGTCTCCGCGCCATTCTTAGGCTGCCGATACGAACCAGTGGCAGCCCGGGAACAGCTCCTTGTCGACCGCTGAGAGGAATAGCTCCGATTAGTGTATGTCGGCGAAAGACCATGATTTTGGTTTGCGTAGTCAGCCGCTACGGCTGGGGGTGCCGGTAGAGGCTCTGGAGGCAGGCCTCTGGAGTAAGCGGCATTGTATTCGCAAGGAAGCGAGAGCTTTGTGCATCTCATACACGGAAGTGTTCCAGTACATCGGGTCTTCTTCTCCTTGCAGTGATCACAGGCTCTCGTGATTTTCTGTCTTGTATTGCTTGGCTTAGGCGATAATGATGACTCAGATGGTTTTCGTTTTTGTCCCGGACGAAAGGTTTCGCTTGGCCCCAGACCTGTAGCTCTTCTAGTATGACAAGCATTTCCGAGTGACAGCTGCGCATCTGCCCTAATGAGACCTGTTGCCATCGGATCGGTAGGAGGCACGTCACGTCACTTGATGGGAGCTACTGCTAAAGATTGCATAAGTCACAGCCCCGCCCTGCCCCTGTGTTTCCTTTTTTGGGTTTTCCGCCTCTTTAAAGTGGACGTGAGGAAGTGGAATGGCAGTTTTCATCAGGAGAAATTTCCGGGGATTGAACGGATTCTGTTTGACGTGCGGGGGTCCGCGAACTAAAGCATACTTAGTGACTCCACACTCCGGCAAAGAGTATCCGGGGCCGAAACGGTTCACTGCCGACGTATCTATGTAAAAAAGACATCATGACGGTGTTTCTCAATAATATGCAACAAAATACACTGCGAGATAGAAGATGGTGAGAGCACCATTGAGGTCTTGCCCGCTCGTATACTCCATCACGAGGGGGACCGAATACCGATAGAGGGTAAAGGTTAACGTTGGGTATCGAAGAGTCGGGGCCAGCAGCCGGTCATCTGCCGGTCACCTGGTTGGCTTAGTCACCCGTTGACAGGACCATGACGGCCAAGATAGCAAGATAGAAGAATATCAGAATGATTCCTTTCCACAGGTAGATCTCCCAGGGACACAGCGTTGACGGAATTAGCTGACCCGTGAGTAGCATGCCTCACTAGAAGTCGTGCGATTAGTGCGTCCTGCCATAAGATTCGTGTCAACGCTCCCAGGAGGGATTGGATGCATACGACCATGCTAAGGTATGCACTGGTACGGTGATTACTAGTCCACCGTACCATAGCATGAACAGGCTCAATGTTTTGAGTAGGGTCGATCAAATCTGAAGCATGTCCTCATGTCTGGTGGATGCTCAGCCTGCGAGGACAACCGCTGCCATTTTGGACCATATGCTGGCCTCTATCTAGGACTGACTAATGCTCTATTTAATACTGAAATTGCATTCGGAGGAGAAACATAGCGGCTGGTTTTCAATTTGGCGACACTAATGCGTGGAGCGAGAACAGGGTCCAAATTCATCGCTAGCACAAGATATAGAGCAAGAAAGGAACAATAACACCATCACTCCAGTGAACTAAGGCCCGATGTTGTGCCTGCCTAAACATTGATCGTTGATTCTTGCTGGGCGGAATAGAAGGTTAACAGCCGTGGGCTCACCAGCCGGCGCGACGGCCAACCTGCGTTAGTGCCGCAGAGTGACCCATGCTGAACAGAATGAAAGTAGGACCCTTTAATCGGGTATCCTGCAATGTTGCTCTGGAAAATGCGAATCACGCGGTTTGGGTATGGGCTTGAACTCTTCCTCACATGGCTTCGGAAACTGCAGAGGGCACAAGGGAGGTTATTCGAAGATAGGTGATCACAGGAGACAGGTGGGAGAATATCAAATAAAGTAGCCAGTAGCCTCTGAAGAATGCGCCATAAGCTTGCCAGGTTCTTTTAGGTTCTTTTTAGGTCCTTTCTATGTCCTTTTATAGATTGATCAAGTCATGTGCAGGATGAATCTGCAGGATGCTTAAGCAATCAAGTTCGGCGCTCGAATGATTAGCTCAACGACAAGTGTGATTATGAAGATGTAGAGGGAGATTTGATTACGGTATAACGATGTGCGGTCGTGATGGGTGATGGATATCCTGGTTTGAAGCAGCGCCAATAACTTTGGTTACGACCAGCTTTCCGGAGTCAAGTCTTTCGATGTATCGTCGGTCTCTGTTCCCTGCCCCACGCCGTCCGGCATATCTGCCTCCCCTTTCGCGTTCCTCGTCAGGAACTCTCGAACAACGGCACGGATGTCGTCGTGAGATGCGCCCGACCGAATGACGGCAACAATTGCTTCCACATCCGTCCTCTCGCCTTGCCGAATCGCCTTCAGCAGCTGCTCGACAAACCCACGATAATATCGCAATTCCTCTTGGGCACGTCGGGCCGCGACCTTACGCCGCTTGTCTGCAGATTCATCGATAACACACGCACGTCCATGGAGCGCACATTCGGCGCAGGGAGGCCCGGTGGTATCTGCGCTGCACTATAGCAGAATAACATTGAAATTAGAGCTTAGTAGTGAATAACGAGAGTTAGATGCAGGGAATCAGGAACAAGCCCGAGACCGGGCCGATTTGGTACACATCGTGGAGGAGATCAAGAATGACATCACCCCATGACAACCAAACGAAAAGAATAGTACCTTTGTTCGACGTCTTTTGCATTCAGTGCAAGCTGCAGATGCTCTCCTTATCTTGGCCTCTTCAAACCCACCTCCCGGATGAGCAGGCGGCGGCAGAGGATCTGGAAGCGTTCGCGGCGCAATGGCGCGAAATGGTCTGGATGACCCTTGTTGGGCCATGGTCTATAGAAGTGTATATTGATTAAGAAAGGAAGACCAAGTCAACGGCAAAAGGAAAAAACAAAAAAAAAGTGAAAATGAGATGAGGAAACCTAGACAGGCGTCTGATGAGGTTCTCAATAGAACTTTGTATTACATGCTCCTCGCTAGGAGGTGCATCTATCCTGAGGAGGTTGACCAGACCATGCTCGACCAAATGGATCATGAGTGAACTGTTAAACACTAAGACAGATCCTTCTGTAGTGCTTGCATTGACTGCCAGAGGCTATCCGCCACAAGAGGAACTAAGGTGGACGGGTGGACGCTGCACAACGGAGGAAAGCGAGAAAAAAAATAAAGATAAAACCTAATTTAAACTAGGAAACAATTAGGGAAAAAAAAAAAAAAGGAAAGAGAAAAGAAAAGAAAGCAATAGTTACCAGCTCGCACGGGGACTTGCGTACGGGCCGTTTCCAAAAGTCAACCGATAGTTTCCAGGTACGACGAAGGGACGCTGAGCAGAAACAGCACATTAGACTCTTAAAAAAAAAAATCCCGACCAGGCGATACGCTTCGTGAAATGGTATAGTGACTGGATCCCTGGCTGGGGCCTTAGGATGACGGAGCCATCGAATTATGTAACCGAGGGCCCGACGCCATGATCGAACAACCATTGGGATGCCATGTTGGGTTTTCGTTCATGTCGGTTGTAGATAGTCGTCCGCAGTAATCCTGGTCAAAGTAGTTCCTCCTACCTGATTCTGTACCGTACCGTCTGATTGACGTCCTTTCATTGGCTCTATGTCATCTCTCACTTGAGTCCTTCTCCGTCGGATTTCAATGCAGATCGCGTAAAATCCTTTGGCGAAGGGGTGCTTTGCTGATTCGGCGGCGGCAGCCCCAGTGGCAACAGGGGCTAAACGGAGTGGGCACTGGGCAGGTGGTTCTGCACGAATTCTATCGCCGCAAGCTTCCGGATACCTTTTCCGTCTTACTTGATAGGCTGTCAGTTGCACGAATCATCGGAAACGTGTCGACGTCCAATGGTTTGGCTCAGTGGGGAGGAGGATTTCGTTCTCCCGTTCTCATCGAAAACCAGTACGTTTATTTCATCGTAATCAGTGACGACCACTTTTCCTCATGAACATGAACCCCGTCGCCCATCGCCTGACCCAGCGAGCACGCTGTTATGGTTCAGTCATTGAAGCTTAAACTGGGAGGCCAGCAGTGGTTAAACATGGTACCACGTAAAGTTGGATGCCATAGGAGTCCAATGGGGGGGGGTTTCTTTTGCGGTTTGCGACACCCTCACTTTCCCTTCCCTTGCAGCTTCTTACAGCATTCGAGGCTTGCGTCGAATGCTGATCGAAACAAAAGATGCCACCACACGTGATCTGGCCCAGTTGTTTGTATCCGGAACTAGCCCCATTGCGGCATAGCGTTTGTATTAGCCCTGAGTCGTAGGAGAGATACGGTAGGGATCTTCATGACTAGTACGATGGATGCATTATGTTACGATTCCGTCCCGAAGGATCCAATGAATCTAGCCCGATGGCTGCATCGGCTATTCTCATGCATTGACTCGATTTCCGAGGGTATACGAGTCACAACTAAGAAACATGCCTCGACAGCACAAGGTAGAGAAATTCCGTCAGGACAAAAGAGAAAACAAAAGCAAAAAGAAAAAGAAAACAGGCAAAAAGAGAAGGAAAAAAAACCAACCATTCCCTACTCGATCCTTAATTCGTCACTATACCAATGCCAACACTAACATGAGGTCTCTTTCCTAACAAATAGGGGGGAGTTTCCTACCTAATCGAGACAATTGCCCAACTGGGAATCTTGGAAAAACGACTCACTGACCTGGAGGGTTCAGCTAAGCCCTACTGAAGCAACAACTGCCGACGCCTACCCCTCGCAGGGTCGGTACTCGCCATGTACCTTGGCGAAGAACCGACAGGAAAAGCCCCCAGAATCACGCTAGTGGTTGATCGACAATAACAGGCGAGATAAGCCAAATTTAAATAGATAAACTCGGAGATCCATTTCCATGGATCGTGCACCATTGGTTCAAGGCAGGTGTGGCGAATTCCTGCCACTTGACCTCCACTGGACGAGTCAGAGACTCCGAGAATCTCTGGAAGGTTCGTTACGAATCCAGTTATCATCTGAACCAAGGGATAGAATGCCGCTACCGGTGACGACGCACTGACACCGGACTGAGTAGGATACTCGTACTAGTAGTATACTAAGAGTCTCCAGCATAGTACTCTGGAGTCCTGATATTGGCCGTACTTCGGCTTAGGGCACCTCGGTTTAGGCCGAGCCAATCAAAAGCGAGAACGCCTGGGCTGGAGAATGACTGCGAGTATCTCCAACTTGAAGCGACCTCTTGATCCTATGACTACCGGGGATCAACAACAACCTTCGACCCAAAATTCCACATTAGTGTCATTGTGCTATGTGCTCACAGCTTGTATGTAACCCTCCCCAAAGCTTCCAACCAATTTGTGAAAGCCCAGCATTATCAAGAGTTGAAAGTAAAGAAAACAAGCTATCTACTGCGAAACAGAGCCATTGGCGGTCAGGAAAATCCATAGCATGCGAAGAATAGGATAAATGATTAGGTTTAGCGAACTACGGAACGGCCTTCAGTAGATCGGCCTGCCTTCGTCCCATCGACGACGAGGTTGTGCGGAGTCCGGAGAATGGGCGTGTTTATCCATCGGCTGACGGCTTTGGTCGGGAGACGAGGCGGACAAATGCGGATCGCCATTGTCGCGCGGCCGTGTCGCCGATCCTTCAAGGTCTCCACGAACACTGCTGATGCCCCCAATCCATTCCCATACGCGAGCAACATCACCTCCACGACCCTCTCGCACGGCAGCTCGAATGTTGGCATTCCCTTCAACAACACTGCGAACCCGTCGCCATAGTTCTTCACGCCGGCTGCCACGCAATTCAGATCGAAGGACGTCGTCGCGCAGTTGTCCAATTGGAATATAAGGTTCACGGGCCTCACCACGAGCATGCAGAGCGGCTTGAGTCGCAAGGCGATCGAGCGTGGTGGCTACTAGTTCGGGGACCCGTGCCCTATCAGACCGGCGAGCCAGGACTCTTGAGCGTGCATACATCACGGCGCATGTACAGATGGCTAGAACTGAAAGAGGGAGTCGATACGCGAGGAGAGAGAGTCGGACGTAGCGGCGGAAGGCGCACGTAAGGGAGAGCCGACTGACTGATGTTGAGGTGAGGGTGACGACAGAAGATGGTCTGTAATAGTAGTGTCGCTTCTGTTAGTTCCGTATACACGTCAGAACCGTAATCCTCTGGCGCTAGCCGGGAAACCCGCCTGCATCGAAACGAAATGAGCAACTTACGTTTTCGTTTGGCTAATCACTTCTTCCCTGCCAAGGATTTCACCCAACGCCCCCTTCCATAGATCATCGAACTCGGCATCGCTCATTCCTTTCCGACGTTTTCTCGCTACCTCCTGCTTCAAATCCGGTTCACTGATCTCTGGCCCTTTTGCCCTTGGCCGTCATCTGCGAGTTCCCCACATTCCCATTTGGCTCTTCTGTCACGCAGCTCCTCCACAGCTTTATCAGCAACGGCTTTGACGCGCCGCGCTTTCTCACTGTCAGGCTCGCAAGTCGGAGGCAGGGGAACCAAGCCGCCCAGAGACAGAGGATGCGCCTTCAGGATGAAATCATGCTCGCAGAGTGCTTCAAAGTCGGGGTAGCAGAACGCATGGGCAGGACAGGGTTCACATTGTGGCTCCAAGACGTTTGCCCACTCAGGAATCCGAGTCTCGGCCAATGACCAAGTGGGCTTTCCAATGCCGCAAAATCCAATCTCAATCTTCTCTTTCCGCCACCAAACACCAAATCCAGCAACCAGCAGTAGGATAATGATCCAAGGCGCTGCGCGACTCGTTGAGCCTTGCTGTTGTTGTCGGTCTGGGGCAGGGGGGTACCACAAGTCCGCCTGCTCCCTTTCTAATGCAAGTTGTTCCTCCGGTGTGAACTCTTCGCCAGCACTGAGCTCACTCTCGTCCTCCTCATCCGCCACAGATTCAAGTTGCCTGGGGGGTGATTTCAACTTCGAGATAGGGAATTGGAAGGAAGATCGCCTGGATGGAGTAGCACCGTCTTCTTGTTTAATGAATGCGTCAGACTTTCTAGCCCGCAGACCCTGATCCCGAGCAGGGCTCTCGGTTGGAAGTAGCGATCCACTCTTTCGCTTTTTCTCGGACCACAGGGCAGGAGAACTTCCACTCTGGAATGGGTTGTCATAAGTGAAAACGCTCTCTTCCTTAGGCTCTTCTTTGATTGGCCGTGCCATGGGCTCTGGCTCAGTCGATGGTGTCATCTCGCTTCTCCGAAGTTTCCTAGTAGTCGATTTTCGGGGAGTAGCGACGTCTGCTGCGACCGGTGTTGCAGGGGTGTCATGATGATATTGATATTCAGATGCGCGAAGGCGCTTCGACTCTGATCTCGGTACTGTACGTCTAGAAATTGTGGACGGTGTGGCCGGAGCGGTTCTATCATCAATATCGGCGGTCGAGGCTCGCGTACTCATTCTCGATCGTCCTCGCCTCCCCCCAGTTGCCGTTGAGACTGTCGAAGGTGTTGGTGGTGGCGGCATCGAATCTCTGCCTTCATCTTCTTGTCGATCATTGAAATCACTAACTACTGATGTTGCGCGACTTCCCATATCGGTAATCCCATCACTCGTTCGCCTCACTCGCTCGCGATCCCGTAGTAATCTCCTCGCCTGAGGTAGAACCTCATCCTCCAGAATTCGTATAAGCTGCGCCTTCTTCGCAGAGGCCGGGTATGGAATATCATGGCTGACTAGAATGGACCGGAGACGTGGTACCGTCAGAGAGTTAAGATCGAAATCAGGGGAGAGATAGTCCAGGTCATCCGCCATGGTGGAAATCGGTTGATACGACGATCACCACAGAAAAGCTTGACTGATAATGAACTGTGTGCGGGTGATGAATTTCATCTAAAATCTTCAAATGGACGTTGTTGCAATTCGTCAAATGTCAGATTGGCATATGTTGAAATTTATGGTAGCCAGGGCAACAGAGCGGGCGGGGCCGAACGCGAGACGGCCGCTTAAGTAGTGGTAGGGAACAAAGACGACTGTATCAAGAGAACGAACAGTCGAATATGGCTTGGCGTGCTTCGGAGTCAAAGAAAGGTGTTGGGGTTTCTTACACAACTCCCACGAGAATGGAATAGGAGTCGGCGATGATGAACCGCGGTTGACGAAAAGACTCAATCAAACCCAAACAAACAAGATGCAAACCCACCCGTGACTGATCGATGCCTGAGGCAAGAGGATTACCTCACCGTGCATAACGTCCTTCCAATATTCAAGTCGACATACAGTACAGCAAAACTATATATATAAGTATGATGTCAGAATTCCCAGTACTATGAGTGAGATTTTAAGAGGTCTATATGATTTTTGTGGTACGTCGAGGCTACCAATCATTACTAATGAAGCCGCTATAGATGTACACGCACTACACAGTAGCATACAGATACGTAACGTTAGCAAATATAGCCGTAGCTCAGCCAAGGTGCAATACAACTGAATTTGAAGCCAGTTCATTCATCATGTCTGTACTGACATATCGACTTGAGATTGAAAGTGGAACAAAGGACAGGAAAAGCAATATCCACCTTAGCTCCTGTCCATGCTTCTGAACGCTGAACATCCAACCAACCCATGCGGCGCCGTTGAGTACTAGATCAAAAGGAGAGAAAGAAAAAAAAGGTAAGATTAGATACTGTAGATAAGAGGTGTGAGATGCGGGCACGTAGACTATTAGTTGTCCACGTCATCAGCTGGGATGCTCATGTGAAGAAAAGACGACGATGCAGAACTGTTGCGGTCTTTGAGAGATGCCAAATCCGTCGCCGCGTAACTCGGACTCCTGTCAGTGATGCCAGCAGCACTGACAGAAATCTGCTCTTTGAGGGCCCTGTATTCGGCAAGCTGGGTTTGCAGCTCCTGTAACACGTCTTTGATAGGCATGGCATGATCATCGAGTCGGTCGTGCGGTCTGAAGGGCCGTAACATGTTCCGAATTGCAAGAGTGCTAACCGTCATTTCGATGCGAGTCACTTGTTGTTCAACCAAGCTGACCACGGTCGAGTCAGCAAGCTCTCCTCCATGATTTTTAACGACATTGAAGAGCGACACGTTGGGCTCCTTTAGTCGGGCCTCGCCCGGATACTCCAAAGCGCCACACAGCCTCTCTAAGCGGAGGGTAATCTCCCAGAGGCGCCAGATGAGGTCTGTTTGAATTTCCAGCTGGGAGTGTTTGCTAATGGTTGTTGGGACATTCTTGTCACTTGCTGCATCTTTCTGCATGATACTTAATCGGCCCGATAGGGTGTGAGGGTAGATGAGGTAAAGCGGCTCGGGGTTCTCCAGGCCTTTCAGCTTCCGTTCTCCCTGGTCTTTGATCACGAAGCCAAGGCTGTTGAGTTGTTGCAGCTCACGACGGATGTTATACCCAAGGTTATCCACAGCATAACCCTCTTCCGAACCAGTTGATGCAGCACGCTCACTATCTGCAAACACCTCCAGATTGCGTTGGATATCGCTCATAAAATCCGATGACACGAAGATCTGCCCGCCATCGGCAACAGCGGAGATACGAGAGGCGCGGTTCACCATCGGTCCAAAGTAGTCCATGCGGTTAGTAACGGGATCCTTTTCACAGACAGGCTCACCCCAATGTATACCCATACGGACAGAAAGTCCACGGAAAATAATATTATTGTCCATATCGTACTCGACCTCACACTGAGGTTGTTCGAGAATTTCCGTCGGCCATTCTGCTTCTAGAAGCTGCATTTGACAGTTGAAGCACCAGAGCAAGGCAGCCGTAGTCGTGGAAAAGGCAACCATAAAGGCATCTCCCTCAGTCTTGACTTCGTACCCACCAATGATTCCAAGCTGTCGACGAAGTATGTCATTATGGATTTGTATGGCAGAGCGCATTGCATCAGGGCAGGTCTCCCAAAGGCTCGTTGACCCTTTAATATCTGTAAAGATAATAGCCAATTCCCCTACAGGGGCATCCACGAAATCAAAGCGAGCAAGTCTGGAATCTCCAGGCATGTCACGGGGCTTCTTCGTGCGTTTTGAAGTGGGAAGGATTTGTTGGTCCTCGAGCATGCCCGTAGAAACACTCGCATTTCTGAGCTTGCTCTGTCTGTCTCGTTTCTTTAGATCCCCAACGCCAAGAATCATAACCATGAGCTTGTTGTTGGCACCGAACGAGATAGCCAGATCCCTTATTTTTGGGCTGCGATCATTAGGTCTCTCCTCTCAGCCCGTGTCACGTCAACAACCAGGTCTGGTGTTACGTAGTCCCATAGTTCCCTTGACGCTAAGATGATCATTTCATCTTGCTCGGTTAAATTGACATGCATAGTATGAGGAGCCGCGATGACGGAGGGCATCAGATGAAAATGTCCAAAGGTTCTCGACACAGAAAGAACATCGTTAAGCTTTCCCTGGCGGGAGACATAACCTCCACCAGCTCGAATCCTTGCTCTTTCATGAGGTTCGGCGGGGTCGTGTGTTCGGGTCAAGTGTCTTAGCGAACCGTCAGATTTAACAAGAATTGCCTGTGCATCGCCTACATTGGCGACGAATAGATCCATGTTATGCAGGTACAGTACAGTGGCAACTGCGCCAGAGTCAGCGTCATCTCTGGAAAGCCGCGTGGCCTTTGTGTCAGGTTCATCGTTATATCGCCGGACATCGTGGTCATCCGTAGATCTGAAACAAGACGCTGCCATATTCTTGTTCAACGCTAAGAACGTACGTCGCAATGCATCCAACGGCGTCTCCTGTAACTCTCGCCGCAATCGACGCAACTCAGTCGAAAAGGTGCGAAGGTAATTTTCGTGCAAAAACTTGGCGACCTTAGAACCTCCAGTGGATTGACTTGTCCCATCAAACATCCCCACAACCGTTTCCACGTTGTCTGGCTTTAACCGTGGCACAATCATGTCAATGATTGATAGATGGTCACTTTTGCCGAGAAAGTCGGCCATACCATAAGCAAGAAAGCCGGCTAGTGATGCAGATGTTCTCACGCGGCGGTCTTCATTTTCCTCGGGTATAGTGGAAGTTGTAAGCGTAACGTCCATCAGCCCCAGCACGCGCAGATAAGTAAGGGAATTGAAGTCGGTCAAGTCTGTGCCATTAGTGTTCGGCGGCCCCAGTAAGGAAGAAACATGCGGTTTGATCTCAAGGCGCTTGTTACCGGAAAAATTGAGATATTTCAGGTTTCGGTTCCAGTTCCAATTCCAGTCATACGGCCAATTCGATACATTGTACTTTAACGAGTTGCTCCCGACATCCAGAATGGAAAGCTTGCTGACTTTGCACAGTTCTGCTGGTAGAACTTGGAACCGATTTGCGTTGATGTTAAGAACCTTGAGCTGGCTACCTTCCTCGAGGTCGTCCGAAGGAAGTGACGTTAGCTCATTGCCGGAAAGGTAAAGCTCAGTCAAATTGGACCAACGTTTCAGCAGTCCCTGGGGTAGCTCGGTCAGTTCATTGTACGAGAGGTTTACAATGCGCAGCTCCGTAAGTAACGATAATTCGCGGAAGACGTCATCTTCCAGCCGATTATCGGCCAGGTATAAATTTCTCAGCGATCCGCCAAAGGTTTGATTGGAGAGATTTGAGAAACTCGAGTCCTTTCTGGAGGCTGGACTACCTTCATTCAACGACCTCGACGCTGTGGAAACTTTTCTGCCGCCTTGGCTTAGGGATGACGCGACTGAGGGCTTTCGGTATGCTCCACTGCCGTTTGGTGAGCCTCCAGTGCTAAGAACGGTACCTGAGGTCTGGCTTGGACGACGACCATCTTGGTCGTCAGCTGCTAGGTCTTCGTAATTTGTCGGTGTAGCGGTTCCTGGAGTGCCAGGCACCGGTTCGCCAGGGAGCTGAGGCATCGGAGTACCGTGCTTTGGAAAGCTGTCTAATACATTGGATGACACGTTGAGTGTCTCTAGTTTGTTGCAATTCCAAAGCTCTGGGGGCAATCGGCTCAGATTACACTCCCGAAGGTTGAGGTATCTGAGTTCGGTTAGACACCCAAATGTGGCAGGAAGCGCGTCGAGTGGGTTCTTGATCATGCTGAAGTGCTCAAGTTTACGGAGTTTGCCGATGTGGGACGACATGGACACGAAATGATTCTTGTCAAGTATGAGTTTGGTCAAATTTGGTACGTTCTCGAACAGGGTATCCCGAAGCTGGACCAACTTTGCGGAAGCTATATTGAGCAATGTGAGAGTAGGCGTCGGAGCATCAATGTCAAACTGAGTGATAGGGCAATGGTCAAGAAGCAATGCTCGCAGCTTCGGGAATGAGCCTTTGAATTTTGAAATCGCGTTGTGACCAACGTGCAACTGCTCCAAGCGTGGCACATACGATAGGTTGTCAATATTGGTTATTTCATTGAACCTCGCATCGATCTCCTTCACATTCACAAGATCTTTGAATGATTCGTCCAGGGTGCCCCTCAATACGTTGTTTGTCATCCAAAGGCGCTCAAGGGTCGACAACTTGCCAATGCAAGGCAGCTCGGCAATATTGTTGAAGCTGATATCGAGATCCACTAAGCTCTTGAGATCTCCAAGAAACTCAGGGAAGACTCGGAAATTGTTGGAGGATAGATTCAAACTCCTCAGATAGGCAAATTTTCCAAAGTAGCTTGGAAGGCTCGTAAGCTTGTTATTCGCTAGTTTTATGCTGACGAGACCTTGTAATTTATCAAGGCCGGCATGATCGAGCTCTTCTAAATAGTTGTTCGAGACGTCAAGGTAAGTCAGCCGACTCGCAAAGCCGAAACTGGCAGGCAAACGGGGGGCTTCATTTCCTATGAACTTGAGCTCTCGGAGATTGATACAGCCTTGAATGAAATCTTTCGGGACATCGAGAGCCAAGTTTTTCGACAGGTTGAGGGAAATAATCTCTGCGGCTTTGCTGTAGAGGCTGATGGGGATGGTGACAAGAGCTCGACCTGAAATATCCACATGGCTAAACTTCTGTTGGCGGAGGAAGCTTAAGTCGCCGTTGTGCTGGAGAGTAGTCATACCGCTTAGCTTATTTGGAAGGAAGGTGAAACGTATGAAATAGCTATGGTCCTCTCGACCAATTTCCTCAAGCCTATCTTTTGAAGTATAGCCAATTTGTTCAAGCATCTTTTTCTGCATAAGAATTGGCTTTTCCATCGGATCGAGCTGCCTGCTTAAATCATTCTTTCGGACAACGATATCGTAATTGTTGAGATGCTCTGTAAGGAAAGACTTCCGGCCAAGTATGACCAAGATATCGGCGGCGGTGGCATTTAGCCCTGTCGATAGCGTGGCGAAAGTAGAGTCTACACGGAAGACTCGTATGAAATAAGGAGCGCCGTCAGGCTCCGGTATAGTCCGAGTAGCCGCTTTATCTCCGCTTGGGAGCACCGTAGCAATGTCCTCACCATGCTTCCTGACATGCCAGCTGTCCGGAGCATCCCAGTGCCCAGTGGGCAGGCCATCACGGCTCTTCCCTTCCTCCTGTTGCTTCGAGTTTCCATCGACTGACGGATTTCTGTCAGCTGCCGGCTGCGGGGATCGTTTTCGAACTATGCCTTCCATATGCGAAAGGTCTGTATCAAGCTCATACATGCCCTCCTGCCCTTCTGCTGGTTTGGTATCTCTCAAGGGCGTGTCGGTGCCCAATACACGGCGACCACGTAATTTGGCGGAACTAATAGCCAGGCCCCTGCCATCTCTTTTCCGATCCGATTCATCTCCAGTTTTGGGAGTAGTGGTGCCTTCCAGGCTTCCTTGGCGTCCCCTCCTAGCGGGGGAGGCATCTCGTCGCGCAAGTTTTGAGGTGCTTTTTGTAGCCTCCTGTGCTCCCTTAGCTCCAGGAAAATGTTTCAAAGGACCATGAGCCTTGGGTCGACGAATCTTGTCCAGGATCGATCGTTTGTTATGTGGTTGTGTCCCTGGAGAACTTTGGCCCTGTTCCCGGGAGTAGGCGCTCTGCATGCTCGGCGTGGGGCTGATGGAGCGCACAAGAGTAGAAGTTGAGTTCATCGCTGAGTTGTTGAGACTGTTAGCGCGCAGACCGATACCAAAATCATCGCGCCCTGTGGTGGGACGGCTTGAATACTCCGTCACATCGTCAGTAGTGGTTGATTTCTCTTCTTTGCTTCGAGAATGCCGATGTCCACTAAACTGTCGTCCAGTTTGGTTTCTTTGTGGGCCTTTTGCCATCTGGGCAGCAGCCCGGCGACCATCAGCCCCTATGGGGGCTTCACGAACGGGGGCTTCGCCGTACTGTGGGATGTCCTATAGAGTCGGGAGCATTAACCTTCGTCGAGACCGTATCGATGACAGCAAGTTGCGCAAATACATAGATAGGGAAGAATGATACGCAAAAGAGAACAATCAGAACTTACATTGAAGCTTTGAAATACCCAAGGAGTAATTTCACTAGAAGGGAGCGGGGCCCGGGGTCTCGGTCGTTGTGGTGAAGATTCGCCACCAATGAGCCTTTGCGGTGGGCTTCGTGCACCATCCGAGTTGGCTCTTTCGCGAAATACATGCTGCTCGCTCAGTGATGACTTTTTTGTGGGATGATGGATGCCGGTGTCAGACTCCAATTTTGAATCTCCAGGCAAGTACTCTTCCCCAAAGAACCCTTTCAGTTTTTTCCGGAACCGGCCACCTGTACTAGACTTAGATCCTTGACTGCTAATAGTAGTGGCGCTAGCAACCGATGGTCTTCGATGATCCCCATTGTATTCAAGCTCCAGAGGCTCACTCGCGTAGGTGCGGCTTGTTCCAGGACGAAAGGAAGTCGACGCTGGCGACGCTTCATGCTCCGAATGGGCCGGGAAGGATGTCCCATTCTTATCTTCGGGTGCCATCTTGGGTGAAGAAGAATATGAGGCATTCGGATCTTGCTGGAAATAATCCAAGTCATCGGAATTCGGACATGACATTCGGCGGCTCGAACTGAAGGTCGGCGGCGGACCTGGCTCATCTGGTCCTATCGCGGCTGAGGATTTTCGGTGACCCGTGAAGCCCGAGTCCTTACGTTTGTCTGTAGGGGACACATCCGGAGAGGGCCAAGTGAAATTGGACGTTGACAAGTCGTGAGCTGTCAAGGTCGGCGGTTGCTTTCGACCCTGTGAATTAGATCTGAATAGGATCAGTACTGTTTTTCTTTCACTGGAAGTCCTTTGACATTGCGGTACGCTGTTACAGCCAAAACATAGACGCTGTCAAAGAAGTTGAATGGACTTGTAGATAAGTTTTAAAATGAACGAGGGGTAGGGGTGGTGACATGAAACATAAGGCTGTCGAGGGCACATATTGCCAGAATGCCGGCGGAGAAAACACAGAACTAAGAAGCTATTCTGGATTATCTTCATATAGGCAAATGGAAGAGACTTCTCCGCCAGGGTCAGTGCAATAAGGATCGGAAGTATGCACCAACAGGTGCCGTTCAGACATACAACACACAATGTCTCTTCGCAATACCACCGGCACAATTGGACAGCAACCAAGAGGGGGGAAGGGGGGAAGGGGGGAAGAGAGAGAAGACGGGATAAGGACAGAAGAGATGACGACATAAACATGAGGTATGAGTGAAAGGATAAGTCACTCTTACCTGTCTACTTTCGCGAATCCAGAAAATGGGGAAATAAGACGGCCATTCAGCATAGCATGATTTCGCTGGTACCGATTGGTTTGGTTGTCTTTGACTGTCTCCTGCGATAGCCAGCTGTTTCCTCCAGAGCTCTCTGAGCTGCGTCTGCCTTCCGGTAGGTCGCCACCCTGGAAAGACATATTTCAAAGTATCCCAAATATCCCGGGGTCGTTAAGAAAGAAGCGGCCGGTCAGCGCAGCAATCACAATGTCAAACGAGGTAGAGCACCATCAATAATCGTCACCGGGGGGATGTGAGCGAGGAGGAAAAGAAAGGGACTGTCGTAGGATGTCGTGCGATAAAGCGCGAGTTGATCCGAAAGAAGGCGGTCGACTGGCAAACGGTATGGTAGATAGTGAGCTTCTGTAGCGTAGGGGAAAGCTATATCAATGGGAATGAGGTGGAGGAAGGTTGGTTCAAGTACAAAGGGGGGCGCGTGATTCGAGAAAGATTATCGCTATATCACTGAAAAAGCGACCGTCGTTGCACGGAGTTTTAGTGTCGGGCGCGGCGGGTGCTTCATGCTCTGGGGGACGAGCGGTAGTAGTCAAGAATCGCCATCGCACATTCTGGGAGAGCAACCCAAAAACGCATGATACGAAGCACGGGCGAAAGAATTAGAGGCGAATATGCGACATATGAAGAGGTTTGCAGGTGGAAAGAGTGGGCGAGGATTTCGTAATCAACGGGGCACGGTGGTTGCAGTGGTGGTGTAGGTTAGTAGTAATAATGGTCGTGGTGGTGACTACGCTACGTCGTTGAGGCTCTGGCCACAAGACGGCGCTAAACCGGAGAAAGTGATTGCTATACTCCGGAGTAATTTACTAACTACCTTTCTGCCAAATATTACCACCGACCTTAACCCCCCACCCACTTACTCCTTACACTCGACTTGCAAGATAATATTTGTTCACCCTCTTGACTGCTGTTACATGATCGTCACTTTCATTAACTATACCTGTATTGAGTTATTCCAACCTCAGCTTGAGTTTTCGACGAAGTGAAAGGGGGGGAAATATCAATTGAAAAAAGGGAGGTATAGAGATGAAATAAATAAATCAAAAAAAAAAAAAGAAAAGAAAAGAAAAGAAAAGAAAAGAAAAGGGATTGTGATATATTATTTCTGTGATTTCGAAGGAAGATTTTTTGAGTTCCGTCAACCCGCTTTGGTCAGGTCATCTATGAGGGGAATTGATGTTGATATGGTCCGTGAGGATGTCTGTGCTGATCCTGGCGCGATTAGATAGAGATCGAGGAGGCATGCAGGCCGTTTGGTACGCATCAATACAAAGAATGAAGCTGGCCCTCATGTTGGCTACGGATCATCCTATTGGGGAAAAGAGCTCTATTAAGTTACTACATACCTCCATAGATACCGTCCTAATCAAAATGTAACATCTGTATTTCTTTTGTACCGTATCGAGATACTTGGTAAAGTTCAATAGTACATACATAGCAGCTATGCTCCGCCAGTCAACATGGTGCCGCGACTGAAACTTATACATCGGCGTACGGTATCGGGTACATCCGTCATTACTCCGTACCATGAGAAATTCGATGGTCACTCCCCTTGTCTGGCATCATCGATCTGTTGCCAGACTTGGAACCAGTTCAGCAGGTAGTCAGCAGGAGTACTACTACTATTGATTTACTACCCACGGTTTCGATTTATTAGTTCACATTCCTTTGGCTTCTGTCCATCACTGACCAAAACGGCAATCCCTCCCACGCATATCCACAAGGCAGCCAATATGATGGCCAACCAACCGCTTCATATCCACAGTTCTGGGGATGATCATCAGCCGGTGGTATCAGGGGGCGTTAATCAGTCTGTTTCCCCTTAATCTTTCTCTCCCCCACCGCCCTCTTCTTGTTTTATTTCTTTTTTATGTTCTTTTTCTATTCGTCTGTATAATGAAGGTGCTTGGTGAATACAGAATTATCACCGCACGCTCGGGCTGGACCTGCTATTTTTCTATATGCCAGACTAAAGCGGGAAATCAGCTAAAGTGCCACATGACCAACGACTGTATCGGAAATTAGAGGGACTGTCTATCGACCCCCAAACCTCGTGTTTGAATTTCCAGATATGTCAGACTCGGGGTTACAAAAAAAGGGTGGTAATTTTTTAATTCTTCTTAATTTTTGCCTCCTTAGCTTTCCGCCTGACCTGCTCCGGAGTACTGATGACGTGTCTCTTTTGCTCTTAAAATACAATATCGATACCATTCGATGTCATTTTATGCTTAGTTATAGTATCACCTTTAGAATCCAATCCATGACAACCACTACCACCTATGGCCTACTTTACTTTCGTCCACTCGATTGGAGGTCACGTGGGACATCTGATCGACAACCAAAAGTCAAGTAGCTTTTCTTGGCAGCTCACTATCGGCCTGGTCAGACTCTTGGCGACTGGACCCAACTGGATTGAATGATCTCCTCTACTAAGAGTTCAGTGCTAGTTCTCACTTGGTCGGATTCTTCGATTAGGTGATTTTAGATATATGATCATAGTGTACTGTTTTCATCCATGTTGTAAGAAATTTCACTGTGTATTAGAGCTTGTCGGAAGCCACAAGCTCCCGCAAGCTTGCTGCACCTACAGATATATAAAAGTATATACTTGACACCATTCTTGTGCATGAGTTTGCGACAACACCCCCTCAAGAAAAACCTCAACGGTATCCTTTTCTGCAGGTGGTTAGGTAGCTAACAAGATTAACCGCTTCAAAAAAGCGCAAGGTTTGTGAATGCAACATATTTATATTACATGCTTGATTCTTTAAAGCTAACACCGACCTAGGCTCACTAGTTCCCACATGGCATAACAAACTATAAATATCATGCTGAGATATTTGAGAGTTCATTCTCCATAATAGATATCTAAGAGCCGAGAACCGTTGTCCAAGCTCCTGATCTTTAATATCTTAAAGTCCAATTGGAATACTTAACGATATGCTATCGGCCCAGGTTTCCGCTGACTCCCACCTCAACCGACTCGAGTACGTAAAGAAGTACTAACCATCTTTAGGTACTGTCCAAGTCTGGATTAGATTACCTACAGAAAGTGTAATCAACAATCTACACAGAGCGAGGGTTTGTCTCCTGCTCCGCCAGTCTTGCCCTTCGGCTGTAGGTACAACACAATGTTGTTGCAACCGTGTCATGTGGATACATGGATATCTCACGAAGTCCGCAGAGGAGTCAATTTTGGCTGGAATAGAACGAAAAGGCGCACGGATACTTGCGGCTTCAGACTTTGCCTGAAAAGTCTGCTCAGAATATACTGTAGGGTCATTTGCTACTATGAAACATGATGTGGCGTGGTTATGCAGGTATGAAAATTGGCCTAGTCGAGTGTTATGGATAGTTTAGACTCTAGTATCTACTGGATGGTGAATGGAGATTGACAGAGTATCGATCTAGACTGTTGAAACTATACGGAGGAGATATTCTTAACTATCACTTTGTACATATCATTGTTAGTATGGGAATACTTTGTTTAGGCTGATTAAGCGAGGCAGTGGAAACTGTCTCGACCGGGAAACGTACAAGTCGGCATAAGATAAAAAA